CTGCTTGGCCTGCTGTGTTCATCCAGCTCTGCACCTTGTTGTCTCAGATTCTCCAGCATCTGCAGTTCCTACTATCTCTGATAGTACAAAATGCTTTAGAACAATACCTTTTATTTTATATGGTGCCTTTTTGTTTTATACTCTCCAAGTCCTTTGTATCAAATTGTATCACTACACACTTCTCTACAGTGAATCTCATCTGTCACTTATCTGCCCACTCCACCAATTTGCCAAGCCTTCCTGTTATTTCTTCATGAAAACTCTAGCAAATTAGTTAGACATTGTTTTACTGGACGAATCCCTGCTGATCCTTCTGAATCAACTCATATCTGTCCATGTGAACATTAATTCTGTCCTGAATAATAGATGTTTTCCCACCACCTCAGCAATTCTTTTCATGATACTCAATCCCAATCAAGTATCACTCTTATCATAACTCTTTAATTCTATTTCTCTATCTCTGTTTCTTTCTCTTTTCATTTCTCTCTATCTATATTCTTGTGTCTATCTCTTTCCCCTTCTTCAATACTGTCTGCGGTCTCCTTTCTAAGTTGTATTTGAGATAAGGAAATTATATTGGCAAGTACTACCATCATTAAGGATCCTCTCCAACTGTTCTAGGTCACTTCTGTTTCCAGGGCGCTGGTGCAAAACTTTCTTTTGAACTTGCCATTGTTTCTGATGTACTTTGATGATTTTTGGTCATGTGCTGGTTTTCCTGAAGAGAGTAATTCAGTGCTCCTCGTGTCATTTACAAGAGCTTGCAGGACTTCAGAGAATAATTGTTTCTCTGTTCCAGTCTGCACTGTTCTGCTCAGCCTCAGATGAACGGAGAAAACCTTTTACTTTCCTAGCTCTGTAAAGACCGAGTAGCATTCTCATATGCAAATTCTGATGGGCCGCTTTGCAGGTTTTATTCCATATCCCATCTAGTTAAAAGCAGTATTCTAAAACATAGGATCAGGAGTAGGCCATTCAGCTCCTTGAGCCTGTTCTGCCATTTAATAAGATCATGGCTGATCTGTGGCCTAACTCCACATACCTGCCATTCGCCCCTATCTCTCACCGCATTTGCTTAACAAAAAATTATCTCTTGTCAGATTTAAAACTAACAACAGGTGAGAAATTTATTCCAATTGTTCAGTTTATATAGATTATGCAGGGCAGATAATATTTCAAACAAAATGTCTTGTGTTTGTGCTACTTGTTTGACATCACTGCAATTGACATTCTCTTTTAATAGCCCATGTATTTTATTTGCATAAACCTACATTAGCTAAAAGTTGTATCGTTCTTATCATGTATTAAATGCATACTTCTCTCTAACCTATGCTGCAAATAGTGTATAAGAGTTTATTGCAAAGATTAAACAAACATTAGTTTTGTCAGATTATTGTTGGAAGTAAAATTAAATGACTCTTTCCCTTATCTTTAGCGCCTCTACCATAGTGCTTGGGAGAATGACAAACTCATAATTCATCTTCCTAATGATACACCTGAGATGGTGTTGTCTAAACAGAACTCTGCCAACATCAGTTCGGTAAGAAATATTTCGCATCTGTTTGTTAATTGGTGAGATGCACATAGTTATCATATTTCCACTTTTTGTCTTTACCTTCATTAGGCAATTACCTTTGTTGTGAATTGTAACTCTTATGGTAAAAGCTATGCAAGTGTTCCTGTACAATTATGAAGACTAATGTCCCAACAAATATACCTACTCGTTTTAAGGAACCTCCTGCAGGGTGTTTTTAGTTCAATCAATGTCATACCTCAACAAGCAGAATAGTAGGAGTTCCTTGTAAGGTTCTGCAGAAATGGAAATGTATACTTCAACAGTATTTGTGATGCAGAGACTATTAATTACCCAGTCAGACAATTCCCAGTGGGGTCCTTAGTTAGTAACAAAGAAGGTCAAAACAGGCCTATATTCCCCCAACTAGAGATATTTTGAGGCCTTCCTATATATATCACATCTGAGAATATTTAACCCACTATGAACCAGAGATCAAGACCTGCTACTTCATTTTCTGAAGAAGGGTCTAGGCCCAAAACATCAGCTTTCCTGCTCCTCTGATGCTGCTTGGCCTGCTGTGTTCATCCAGCTCTACACCTTGTTATCCAAGACCTGCTACTTTCTGGTTTATGTGGTGCATGCATTGATCAAAACATGTGCATTAAAAATAGGAGCAGGAATAAGCATTCAGTTCACTTGCTCTCCCTTTCAATCTGATTGTGGCTAATGTTTGATCTGTACATATATAAAAAATAAGGAACATGAATAGGCCACTCGGTGCTTTGCGTATGCCTTTTGCTGCATAGCAAACTTGAGCAAATAATCACAAAGATCTGGGAAGAGGAGATTTTCCATTGCTATCTTTAATTCAGTTTCTGTGCCACCCTGATCCTACCTCTTCTTAGTGATCTTTTTGCAAAAAGTCAAGAATAGATCATCTCTACTGGAAGTACCCATGGTAATATTGAGATTTGTTTTTGGCAACTTGATTTACAATAATCTTCATTCATGTTAAAGTGAACTGTTTTGTAGATTGATTTGTCAGTCAGTTTATGGTGCACACAATAAGGACAGAATTTTCTGGTCAAAAGCAAAATTTTGTAATTGCTACAATAATTCCAGTTGATATTGCTTTATTAGCTTTAACTGGGAATTAATAAAACTTGAGAATAAAAAGAAAAGCTTTTGAACAGATACAAATGCTAATTTTAGCTATGGGTGAGCAGTGAACATGAGGCCAGTGGGAGAGTGGGAACAGTAGAGGGACATGGGTGCCGGAGTTGAAGGTGTTCACAATGGTTGCAAGTATGGGACTGGTGAGTTTTGGACCAGTGGGAATGGGGTGGATTGAGTGCTTTTTGAGTTCATAATGACTTGCTATCTATGCTCTCTCTTTGAATGATATCTCATTCCTTCTTTTTCTGCTGTGTAGAAACTATATAAACTCAATTGGGAAGAATCTAAGAAGGATGGCTATGACCTAAGGAACGATGCCATCTCAATCAAGGCTGCCAAAGCTTCCAGAGAAATTGCTAGTGATGTAAGTGAGCTCATGCAGTGAGCAATTATGATTAAATTCTTAAGGTATTGCTTAAGTCACATATTGGTTTGAAGTAATTTTTCCATTCATATACTAAAAGGCAAGATTGTATTATAGCAGCATCGAAAAGTCCATGTGGTTAGTTAGATTTGCTCCAGATTCTTCAGCTTTTTGTGCTCAAAACGTAACTGAAAACTGAAGCCGATAACAGAGTAGTGAGTGAAACAGGACATCTAGGGGCCAAGAGACCAGCACAATCAAAAGGGCATCTCCTTAAACAATGGGAAGAAGAATGGGGAGATAAACAGAGAAAGGACTGAGAAAAATAGTAAATTAACTCGACAAATTCAGTATTAAATCAGGTATAGAAAGAGAAATCAAGCATAATAAATTAAGATTGGATTAAGAGAAATTTAAAAATGAGCAGCTAGGAAAAGAAAGAAAAACTGTAAAAATCATAATTTGATATTTTAAAAGACTCCACTATTGTAAAGGTTAATTTTGGGTACAGGAGAAGCATTGAAAGCAATAATCACTTTATCATGTTGTTAAATGGCTACTTACAACTATAATGCCAAGACTTAAGCTTCTCTGACAAATTTAGTTCTTAATTAATGGGTAAGCACAGCCTACTTCTAAAGAAATTAGGGAAACTAAGGCCAGCATACTGTTGGATATTCATATTTAACCATGCATTTGATCCTGGTTTGAAGATATTGTGCTATATTCACCGTTGACTGGTGTGATTAGCCTTACCATTATGTTGGCAACAAATTAAGGCTTAATGCTGCATATCAATTTTGCTTAAAAATAATAATTTCAGAACTCTATTTCTTTGTGAATATATCTGTTTAAAAATAAATAGATGTACAGAGACTAATTTTGATGTACTTCAGAAGCAGACGACAAGTCATAATTTGGCGATTGAGGAATTCTGCATCTCGCGTAATTCTAAGCGCTGAAAGTGAAGGAAGATAACATTAAGCAAGCAATTTTGCAGTGTCTCACTTTAATATCTATGATATTAATGATGGTAATGTGCATTAAAGTTATTCTTCTTTCCTATAACCAGTACAAATACAAAGAAGTCTATCGCAAGCAGCTTGGTCACCATATTGGATGCCGTGACGTTCAAGATGACCTAAAGATGGTTTGGTCCATGCACATGGCCAAGATTCAGAGTGACAGAGAATATAAGAAGGACTTTGAGAAAACAAAGACCAAGTTCAACATGCCAGTCGACATGCTGCACATCCTGTTGGCCAAGAAATGCCAGACTCTGGTCAGCGACATTGACTACAGACATTACCTGCATCAGTGGACCTGTCTGCCAGACCAGAACGATGTGATCCAGGCAAGGAAGGCCTACGATCTGCAAAGTGATGTAAGTATTAATATATTTCCACTTCAGTAAAAATATTTATTTGGCTATTAATTATTAAAAAATAATAATCTTAGATCTTAAGAACAGTAGATTCCAACCACCCATTAAGATATTAGCATTACTTATTTTCCAGCTGAGTTAAAGGAAGAAAGTGCATCTGAACAATTAACCAACAATCTCTGGCATGTAAATGTTTCAAGTGTTTTCCACTTAGTGATATTTTAGCAGAGATATCAATCGTGTAAGATAAATTCTCTATATCCTGATGGAAAGGAATCACAGACTAAACACTGAACCACTTTCTTGTTTTAGTAATTTTAAAGCTATTGAGTTTTTCAAAGCTAAGCCACCAACAACTAATAGTACAAGGTGGTACCTACAAGACATCAAAATGCATGTGCAATTTTGGAACGACCAACAAAGAATATCATAAATTAAGACCAATTTGTATTTACATACAACTTTAAAATATCACAAGGCATTTCACAAGAGCCTTATCATTGTATGGTACATTCAACCTTGCTTATTTGCACCAGGTCCCTGCAAAATTGAATTCCTCAGCTCTTTTCCCACAATCCTGCAATTGAGGTACTTGCCCAATTCCCTTGGAAAGTTCTGAGGAAGGGTCACCGGACCCGAAATGTTAACTCTGTTTTCTCCTTCACAGTTGCTGCCAGACCTGCTGAGCTTTTCCAGCAACTTTGTTATTTTGCCCTTTGAAAGTTATATCTCAATCTACCTCAGCCACAATCCTGTGTGCATTTTGAGCATTTGAGAACCTAACCCCTCACTGAGTAAAAAGTTTTTACGCATATCGCCATTTGTTCTTTTGCTGTTCACCTTATATTGCTGGTGTTTAGTTCTTGAAGTTTCAGTCAATTTGAATTGTATCCTCACCTCCCCCAGGCCTGCTTCATTACTCTTTATGAATCCTTCATGATTTTGACTACTTCTATCAATTTTCTGCCAATCTTCATTTCTCTAAGGAGATCCTCCCATCTATCCATTTAACTGCAGCCGTGGATCTATTTCCTAACTTATCTTCACCCTCTTTCCCAAGTATTATGACCAACATTAGTCACACTTCTCCAGTTCAGGCCAAAGTAGTGTTTTATAAAATATCATTCTGATTTTATAGTTTTGGTACATGCTTCTATTTATGAAACCTAGCAAATCATATGCCTATTAACCACCTAGTTGCCCTGCCATCTGCTCTGTACATATACTATACTCTCAGGTCTATCTGGTCCTGCAACATTTTAGACTTGCAGCCTTGGTTTTATATTTGCCTCTTCCAATTTCTCTTCTAAAAATGGAGACATTCAATGCCTTAAGACACAAATTTGAGCTGCATAAGCAGGTAAACAGGTTTGAAAGGAAGAGAGTGATAGAGAGAGGCAGAAGCAATGTATGGAAGTTGCTGGAAAAGCTCTACAGATTTGGCAGGATCAGTGGAGAGAAAGCAGAATTAACATTTCTGGACCAGTGACCTTTCTTCTAGTTCAGAACTTCAGTTCTGAAAAAGAGACACTGGACCTGAAATGTTAACTCTGATTTCTCCCCACAGGGCGGCATGATGGCTCAGTGGTTAGCACTGCTGCCTCACAGCACCAGGGACCAGGGTTTGCTTCCACCCTCAGGTGACTGTCTGTGTGGAGTTTGCGCATTCTTCCTGTGTCTGCATGGATTTCCTCCGGGTGCTCCCTTTCCTCCTACAGTCCAAAGACGCGCAGGGTGGGTGGATTGTCCATGCTAAATTGCCCGCAGTGTCCAGGGATGTTTAGGTTAAGTGGGTTAGACATGGGAAATACAGGGGTAGGGGGATGGGTCTGGGAGGGATGCTCTTCAGAGGGCAGTGTAGACTTGTTGGGCTGAATGGCCTGCTTCCACACTGTAGGGATTTTACAAGATGTTGCCAGACCTGCTGAGTTTTTCCAGCAGTTTCTGTTTCTGTTTCTGATTTCCAGCATTTGTACTTCTTACAGCTCTTTTTTGAGTGAGGCAGAGAGTGCAGGGAGGGAATTCCACTGTTTGGGGAAGAAAAACAGGAAGTGCCAGAAATACTCAGTAGGTCTGGTAGAATAAGCCAAGAGAGAAAAGAGTTAATATTTCGAGTCCAATGTTCTGCTTTGGAATTGTTTCAAAAAGGAGTCATGTTGAACTCAAAACATTAACCATGAGTTTTCCAGCACTTTCTGCCTTTATTTCAGATCTCCATCATCAGCATATTATGCTTTAGTCCAGAGCTTGGAGGCTTGCTAACTGAATGCACAGCCATCATTGATGGAGTAATTAAAATGTGAGGATATGCAAGAGACCAGAATTAAAAGATCAGAGAATGTGGCAGGTATACAGCTGGGGCAGTTCCAGTGATGGGTGTTCATATATTTTACTGAACAAATGTAATTGGCTGTCCTAATTGATCCTGTTTTTAATTGTACATATTAATTAATAAGATTAATCTGATGCCCAATTTATTGTCTGTGACCTATGTTTCTCTGACTTTTTCTCTAGTTGCTTTACAAGTCTGATATGGAATGGATCCGTGGCTGTGGCTGGATGCCACATGATTCTCTTGATGTTAAGAAAGTGCAGAAAGCCCAGGAGATCCTTAGTGAACGTCACTACCGTCAGCCCCCGGATAGATTCAGTTTCACCAGCATTGTTGATGATCCCAGCATAGTCCAAGCTAAAATCAATGCGAACCAACTGAGTGCTGTAAGACACTTAAAATCATTAATGGTCCTGTGCTTTCCACTTTATTTTAAACTGACTACATACTAAGTATACATTGTTTTTTTTAAAAATTTGCTTGTTATGGTACAGGGAAAATACAAGGAAGCCTGGGAAAAAGACAAGGTACAGATTCACGTCCTTCCTGATACACCAGAGATTTTGTTGGCTAAATCCAATGCTGCTAATGTTAGTCAGGTAAGTGTAAAATATCTAATTATCCACAAACATAATTCAATAATCTGCTGAATTAACCAGTAAGGTACTTTTATTTTTAAGGGGAGGCAATGGTGGAGTGGTATTGTAATAGACTGGTAATCAAGAGACCTAGGTAATGTTCTGGGGACCTGGGTTCAAATCCTGCCATGGCAGATGGTGGAATTTGAATTCAATAAAAATCTGGAAATAAGAATTTAATTATGACCACAAAATGTTCATTGGAAAAAATCCATCTAGTTTTGTTAATGTCATTTAGGGAAATGAACTGCCATGTTTACCGGGTCGAGCCGACACATGACTTGAGATCCACAGCAATGTGCTTATCACTTATCTGCCCTCTGCGCAATTAGGGACAAGCAATAAGTGATGGCCTAGCCTGCAATGCCCACATCCTGTGAATGAATAAAAAAAGGTCCATTAAATGGCTGTATTTTTATATATATATTTTTTAAAAGTCTCAATATCGGTATGACACATAATTCCTATATTAATGGAAGTATTAATTTGTTTATTTTAAAGGTGTTACATTTTCAGACAAAGGTCATGCGTATAAATAAACTAAATGTTTGTACAGCCATCTTATATAACACTACTTGACCCCAAAAGTCAGTCATTGACTGTTTTTAAGAAATGTTGTGACCTTGCTGGAAGGAAATTTATCTCAATTTAGACAGACTATTTAAAGCAAACTGCAGTACTTACGTTGTGAAATGAATGCCAATGATTCTCCTTTACAGAAACTTTATAAGGAGGGCTGGGAAGATGCAAAGAAAAGCATTGACTATCGTGCTGATGCCATTGACATCCAACATGCTAAAGCATCTCGAAACATTGCAAGTGATGTAAGTATGAATTGTTGAGTGAACTTTGAAGTTTTTGTGGACATAATCACAAATGCATTATGTGGACTATGCATAAAATGGCACCAGCCATTTCTAAAAGATCCACTAGGGAACTAAACTTAGTACCATGCACTTATATTGTTATTTTATCAGAATGACAGGTTGTATAAGTAGTCAAATTCTAGATAGGCAAATGTCTCCAAGGACAAAAGAAATTAGAGCAAGTGCAGACCATATGGTCATTGAGCCTGCCGCAACATTTTGTACAATCACTAGCCAGACCATTAATCTTGGTTTTCAGCTCCAGTTTCTGCCCACTCTTCATATCCCTTGATCCCCTGACAGACCAAAAAGTGTCTACCCAGTCATAAATAATGGAGACTCCACAACTATCTGGGGCAGAGAATTCCAAAGTTTTACAAAGCTTTGCATGAATAAATATCTCCTCATCTCATCCTCAGCCCATTATCCTGAGGAATTGTCCTCTATTTTGGTTTCCCACACCAATGGGAGCAATTTCTCATCATCTACCCTGTTAAGCTCTTTCAGAATCTTGAACATTAGGAAATGATGGCCTCAGCCTTCTAAATCCACTAGAGAGTATTGACCCCATTTACTCAAGCTTTCTTGTCATAGGACAATTACTTCACCCCAGGGACTAAATAGCATAACTTCATTGTACTACCTCCAATGCACGTATATCTTTTCTTAAAGAGACCAGAATTTCATGGAGATTAGTGGTGAGATTCTCTCTATCATTTTGTTGAGGTTTAATTAAAATGCACGTCATGGTTAAGACAGAGGTTTGTCATAAGAGTTTGCTATTTTACTTTAGACTATGCCACAATAAATTAGATCAAGCTAATAACACACGTTGATATATTTTTCCCTTAGACCAGTAAATAAATCCCTGTGTCATTCAAAGCTATCTGTCTCAGAAATCTATCCTTATTGATATTAAAATTGAGTATTATCAGATTAGATATAAGACTATCAGTTAAGTAGAACACCATTGAAAACTGCTGCATTGACAGTGTACACGATATAAATGTTGCTCCCATTTAGCTTTAACAGCATACTAGTTTCTATCTCTTTCTCTGATTCATGTCTGATTGTGTCTGCAATTTTGAGAAACTTCACAAAATCATTGGGTAAAGCAGCATTAAAGTGCAACAGTAGACAAATGTATCTGAATGATAAGACATTGTTCCAAACTTTACTGAGTCCATAATTGTAAACAGAAATCCAAGCATAACAATGGGATTATCACATTTTGGGAAAAAAAGGAAGGAAACTTTTTATAAACTGTAAAATTTGCATGAAATATCATAAATATCTAGTCTGTGAATGAGAAACAGTGCAGAAGAAGGAACGAAACAAGTATCTTTGTAAAAAAAAGTTTTTATTTTAGCCTAGAGATAGTAAGAACTGCCGATGCTGGAATTAGAGATAACACAGTGTGGAGCTGGAGGAACACAGCAGGCCAGGTAGCATCAGAGGAGCAGGAAAGTTGATGTTTTGGCTCGGGACCCTTCTTCCGAAATGGAGGAGGGGGAAGGGAGCTCAGAAATAAATAGAGAGGAGGGGTGGGGCTGGGGAAGGTAGGTGGGATGGTGATAGGTGAGTGCAGGTAGGGAGCGGTGGGGATTGGTCCGTGAGGTGGGAGAAGCAGATCGGTGGGAGAGAAGATGGACAGGTTGTGTCAGGTCAAGGAGGTGGGGAGATCTCATAGATAAACATTTATTCTGCAATTAATTAATATCTTATTTTAAAAATAACTTTTAAATTTCAATTCCAGCATAAAATTATTAATTTAATATGAAATTAATGAAGAGCTATGGGATTGATTCTTAACATCAAAACAGGGTGGGTCAGTGTCACATCAGAAGTTAAACAATAAAAAGCAAAACATGAACCCAAGCCACCTCAATACCTGGAACAATAGCAGAGGTCGGATGAAAGGTGATTATCAACGAATTTGTTTTATCATAATGAGGCTGCATTTTATCACCTATTCAATCTTTTAAGTGTTTTGCTGAGCTGTTTGGGCTTCCCAAACCTCAGGAAACCTGACAACTAGAAGGATGTGTGAAGAGCTGAAGCTATGATTTAAGTGCCTTTACAGCATTACACATGGGCAAGGAAGAGCACAAATGTCTTTCGTGTCACAAGAAAATACTCATTCAACTTTTCCCCACAATTTGTCTGCTCCTATTGACTATGACTGAAACTCCTAGACATCCTCTCCCACCCCTTTCCAACCACCCTCGCCTCCTCCCCAACTGCTCAAGACCTCTCCCAACCACTGCTAGAATTCCCTCATCCATGCAAAATGATTGGACAACACAAACATTTTCTTAATTGTGAGTAGGATTTCCCCATTGGTAAGTGGGTACTGTCAGTCATTTTCAGATTAACCCCAAGCCAAAATCAAGACCCCATCTCCAGCCTTATTCCCCTCCCCCAACCTCGCACCTGCTCAACATCATCATCCCTCCTACTCCTCTCGCCACCATCCCTGCCTGCCCAATCAGGGCCCTCACCATTCTAATAAACTCTCAAATTGCCCCGGTCTATGTATCTGGTCTTGTCAGCTGTGGCTTTGTGAAGATGGCTTCCAAACTGATAGTTAGAAAGAGCAAGATATTCAGGAATCCATTCTTCTGGATACATGATTTTGCAATAATGCGCTGTCGTGCATAGAATTAATCTACCAGCTAAAGTCCAAGACACGTTAATTATTCTACAGTAAGTTAAAATACCAAGTGAAATTGATATCCTTCTGCATTTTCCCCCAGTACCAATATAAAGAAATCTATCGCAAGCAACTTGGTCACCACATCGGAGGCCGTGACATGTACGATGACCCCAAAATGGTTTGGTGTATGCATGTAGGCAAGATGCAGAGCAACAAGGAGTACAGGAAGGAATTTGAGAAAACGAAGGCCAATATTAATGTGCCAGCTGACATGATGGACATCGTAATGGGCAAGATATGTCAGGGACGGGTCAGTGAGATTGACTACAGGCATTACCTACATGAATGGACCTGTCTACCAGACCAGAATGATGTGATCCAGGCAAAGAAAGCGTATAATTTGCAAAGTGATGTGAGTAAAAGTAAATGTTGATGTTTGTTTTTTTGTCTTGAAATTTCACCCTGAGTACCTGAATAATGCATTCCACATCCAAATCCAGCAAGACTTGGACAATATGCAGACCTGGGCCAAAAGGTGGCAAGTAACATTCGTGCCACACAAATGCCAGTCAATGACAATCCTCAATAAGAGACAATCTAATCATCTCCCCTTGACATTCAATGGTGTTGCCATCACTGAATCCCCTACTATTAACATCCTGGGGGTTACCATTGACTACAAACAGAACTGGACCAGCTAGATGAATCCAGTGAGGTTTTTGAAGACGTGACAAAGAAAATTGACTAAGGCAGAGCAGTAGACGTTGTCTCTGTGGATTTCAGCAAAGCGTTCGACAAGGTTCCACTTGGTTGACTGCATAACAAGGTTAAATCACATGGGATCCAGAGGGAGTTAGCCAACTGGGTACAAAATTGGTTTGAAGATAGGAGACTGAGGGTGGTTGTAGAGGGTTGATTTTTGGGCTGAAGGGCTGTGACACAAGGATTGGTGCTAGGTCCACTGCTTTTTGGCATTTATATAAATGATTTGGATGTGAATATCGGCGGTATTGTTAGTAAGTTTGCAGATGACTCCAAAATACACCTGGTTGTGAGTCCTCCCTATCTTACTGGAGGCCAAATGCATCAACCAGGCTGATCACCAGAGGGGGAACATGTGGAATTAAATCCCAACTTCCAGGTTGTCCATCTGAATCTCCCCCTCACATCCATCCCAATACTTAAAAACATATCTTTGTTAAAAATCTATCTGGCACTCACTTCTCCTCATGTGTGTAAAATGGAGTACAACATAGAACTTGGAAGAGAAAAGGAAAGAGTTGAAATAATATAGAGTATTAATAAGTTTCTAATAGCAGATAATCGTCACTGAGAATTCAGAAATGGAAAAAAATAAGAATCATTCATTTTCTTTTCATTAGGTCAATTACAAATCAGATATGGAATGGATGCGTGGAATTGGATGGATTGCAACAGATTCTGTAGATGTTAAGAAAGTAAAGCATGCCCAGGACATTTTAAGTGATGTAAGTATAAGAGATCCCTCCCATCATATGATCAGCAGCATAATGTAGTGCACAAATAATGACTCTCACTTTGGTAAAACGGGCACTGACAGCTATGCCAATGATGCATTTTGCTATTTTCACGTATGTTTTACACTGATCTGTCATGGATATGTCCATATGCATCCATAATGCACAAGCATAATCTTCAGCCTCATTGCTTCATCGATAAACTGCCAGAATTAACTTGCATGGCCATTATAGACCCACACATTCATACTACATTTGAAATCAATGGTGATTTTATTTTTGTACTGCGAAATTTGCCAGAATAACACACAAGTTGCAAAAATAGAAATTAGTCCCAAGTGTTTTTACAACATTTAAAGGCATTCTTCAACTAATTGTCACCACTAGATTTTATCAAATTGAGCTGAAAATCTTCTGCTTGCATAATTTTCTAAGTGTTTAAAAATTATGATGTGCCACAGTATCCACGTACTCAAATTTAGTGTTGTATTAAAAATGGCATGAAGGAGGTCTTCAGCAGCAGATGAACTGAGACAAGATAAACTTCACTTGGATAAGTAACATTTTAACAATGCTCAAGAATTTTGACTCCATCTAGGACAGATAAGTTCTCTGACCAGCACCTTAATTGTCCAGCTTCAATATTCAGTCCCCCTACCGCTGACACACAATGGCAGTGGTGTCTACTGTATATAGGATGTATCGTAGCAACACACTAAGTCTCCTTTGGCACTACTTTCCATACTCATGATCCCTACAACCTAGAAGGACAAGGGCAGCAGAAGGCCTTTAAGCCACAAATTATCCTGACTTGGAATTAACTGTACTGCCACTGGTCTAAAATCCTGGAACTCTCTCCCTAAAAGCCCTGTGACATATCTATGTCAAATGGACTACAGAGTTTCAAGAAGACGGCTCACTACCACCTTAGGGTTGGGCAACAAATGCAGGCCTTGCCAGCAACACCCATTCCCCTGAACAACTAAGAAAGTTGTTGCAGAAGTGGGAATATACAGCCTGAATGATGGCATGGCTATGTGAACAGAAGCTCATCTTGGGGCCAAATATGTTACCAAGGTTGAAAACAGACTGATTTAAGCCTTACACAGTTGCCAGAGAGAAGAATGGAGTCAGTAGCAGTGAATGGAATTTAGAATGTGGGCTGAAAGCAAAGCCTTCAATTTTGCCAATGTTTAATTGGTGAAAATTTCTGCTTATTGGATGTGGGACATGTAGTCTGAGAATTTAACAATGGTGGAGAAAGCAAGTGGGTTTTTGATAAGATACAGCTGAGGGTCATCAGGATGCACATGAAAACTAACATTATAGGGCAGCACGGTGGCTCAGTGGTTAGTACTGCTGCCTCGTAGCGTGAGGGACCCACATTTGATTCCACCCTCGGGCAACTATCTGTGTGGAGTTTGCATGTTTTCCCCGTGTCTGCATAGGTTTCCATCGGGTGCTCTAATTTCCTCCTACAATCCAAAGATGTGCTGATTAGCCATGATAAATTGCCCATAGTGTCCAGAGATGTGCAGGCTAGGTGGATTAGCCAAGGGAAATGCTGAGTTACAGGGACAGGGATAGGGTAGTGGAGGTGGGTCTCAGTGGGATGTTCTTCAGTGGGCTGGTGTGGACTTGATGGACTGAATGGCCAGCTTCCACACTGTAGGGATTCTGTGATTCTATACTGTCAGCTGATATTGACAAGTGGCAGCATGTAGATCAGAAATATGTGGGTCCAAAGATAGATACTTGGGAAACACCAGTGAAGATAATAGGAGCAATAAGAGAAACCTTTACAAGTGAATGGGCTACAGTTAGATTGATAAGACTGGAAGCAGGTGAAAGCATTCCCACCCAGCTGGCGGTCTGTGGGGAGAGACTTTATATGAGGAAGTAATGATAAGAATGGCAATCTCATTGTCCATACAACTAATTGAAGTAAATCATTCCATGAGGGAGGCTTTGAATTTGGAATCATACTTGAATCTGTTCAGCATTGTTAGAAAACAGTTCAATCCATCATGCTTGCACTGGTTTTGCACCAACAGAAGGAATCTCTATGCTTTTAGTTAATAATTTCTATTGTTTTCAACAGAGAAATTACCGGACGAAAGCGGATACTCTCCAATTTACACCAGTGACTGACAGAATTGATTATGTTACAGCTAAACAGAGTGGGGACATTTTGAATGACGTGAGTACATGCCCTGCTGCCTCGGATTATGCTAGTTTCCACCATGGTAAAATCCTGTTGCTGTTATGTCTCACAAGTGCTTCCCTTTATTGATTAGATCAAGTATCGTGAAGCCTGGCATGCCTGTAAGACAAAGTACACACTGGTGGATTCACCAACAATGGTTGCAGCACGGGATGCAGCTAGAAACCTTAATGAAGTAAGTGCTGCAAAGAAATATGTAAACTTTACTTTGGACCCCATTATTTTCGCCTGCCAAATAGATTGAGATATTTGCTTGGTTTTCAGATATTTTAAAAGCATCCACATTACCATTGTCAATAAATCCTGGTTTCAATGTATGTCGAAACCAAAATGACAGTCAAATAGAATGCTTTCAGAATCTTCTAAATCAAAGCTATCTTCCAAAAAAAGGATTCATTTGTTGTACAATTCATCAAGCAAAATTGCATATTAACATCTGAGGGAATCATGAACTAAATGTTACTTTAAGATGTAAATACTTTGCAAGTAAAGCTTATTAAGTAGGTTTTGACTAGCAATAGGCATGTGACATGTAGGCTTCCAGTCTAGAAAGGGGGAGAGCTGCAGACTTAGTACCAATACAGAAGGAAATTGAAATTCATGTTTTGAAATTCTGATCAACTGTCTATATGATAAGAAGCTACATATTTCTCTACATAGGAATGAAAAAAAGAGGAATATCCTTTTTGCCTTGGAAATATTGCTGAGAATTCAATTAGGAATTAGAACATAAGAACTAGGAGCAGGAGTAGGCCATCTGGCCCCTCGAGCCTGCCCCGCCATTTAATAAGATCATGGCTGATCTTTTTGAGACTCAGTTCCACTTACCTGCCCACTCACCATAACCCTTAATTCCTTTACTGTCCAAAAATTTATCTAGCCTTGCCTTAAAAACATTCAGCGAGGTAGCTTCAACCGCTTCACTGGGCAGGGAATTCCACAGATTCACAACCCTTTGGGTGAAGAAGTTCCTCCTGACCTCAGTCCTACATCTGCTTCCCCTTATTTTGAGGCTATGCCCCCTAGTCCTAGTTTCACCTGCTAGCGGAAACAACCTCCCTGCCTCCACTTTATCTATTCCCTTCATAATCTTATATGTTTCTATAAGATCTCCCCTCATTCTTTGAATTCCAATGAGTATAATCCCAGTCTACTCAGTCTCTCCTCATAATCCAATCCTCTCAACTCTGGAATCAACCGAGTGAATCTCCTCTGCACCCCCTCCAGTGAGATACTTGAGATATTGAATTGTGATTGGGATTATTAGAAACTATTCAAACCAGCCATTCATATTTCATAAAATTTATAGCAAAAGACAGCCGTTTAGCTCAAGAAATCCATATCAAAATATATGTTCACACAAGATTCCCCTCACCCTACTTCATGTAGCCCTATCCACACAGCATTCCATTTCTTTCTGCCTCATGTAATTCATCAATTCTACCGTTAAGTGCATCAGTGCTATTCACCTCATAACATTTTATTTCAGGACACAATTTTGGTTTTCCCACATGATGCAAGTCCCTAACCCCTAAACTGCATTAACGTCGAAAGTCATCCAGCATCATTTTTTTTTGCGTACAACACTTGATTAAAACTTACTGGTTCCTGTTTCATCCATAAGTATTGAACAATGAAACACGTTGCTCACTCACTTTTAACACAGAAATAGAGTAAGTTTGTTTTCCCCACATTCCTAGTAAGAGTTGGCACTCTCAGGAATTATATACATCACAGCATTAGCTGTAGAATTAGAGGAGGTGTGATGCTTCATAAATCACTCGTTTGCTGCAATAACTCTAGAGATTTACACTCCTAGTTTCAGACTGAATTGCTTGTTCGTGTTGACAGCCCAATGAATGTGATTTAAAAAACAACAAACAAATGTATGCTGCAACAGCTGACCTTAGCTAGCAAATCAGTAGGGAACACCACAATTGACATTCATGCCACTCTCGCTGATCAGAATCAAGCCCCTGGCAGCCAGCTAAATCAAGAACCTGCCATCCTGCTTTCCTATTTGGGTTAGGCTAGACATTCAATAGTTGTCACCATGTGGTAATAATATAAAAAGATCTATTTCACCTAAAGTAAAACAGATAAAAATAAGAGACAACAAGGTGCAGAGCTGGATGAACACAGCAGGCCAAGCAGCATCATAGGAGCAGAAAGGCTGACGTTTTCATCAGAAAAATTTTCTGATGAAGGGTCTAGGCCCGAAACGTCAGCCTTTCTGCTCCTATGATGCTGCTTGGCCTGCTGTGTTCATCCAGCTCTGCACCTTGTTGTCCCGGATTCTCCAGCATCTGCAGTTCCTACTATCTCAGATAAAAATAAGAGTTACATTATAAAGCAAATGAGATAATTATGTTTTCTGATTTTTAATTGTTCCGATTCATTCCCCTTCTCCAGAAGACAGAATATCTTGAAATGTTAATTACGTACTTATCAGGGCTGATTTGTATCATTCTTTGTCTAATACTTGCATTGTGTTCCTTCCTTTTAGAAATTGTACAAAGATGGTTGGGAGAAGCTGAAGGCAACTGGTTACAAAATGCCAGTTGATGCCGTGTCAATCTGCCATGCCAGAGCATCACAAGACAAACAGAGTGAGGTGAGTCCTGCTCAGAACAGTGCCACTTACAGTAAATTGCCTGACTACAGAGGTATTTCAGTGACAAGTTGTATAATAGCTGTTAAAAAGATGTAACGCTGAGACAGTCAACATATTCCACCATGGAGTGATCATTTCTGAACAAGGTTATCATATCGTTCAGATCATTGAGAGACATTTTCAATGAAATTGGATTTCTCTGTGAGTGGAATTCCTGGGCTGTGATTCTATGCATTGGTAAGGGAATGTTAATTGAAAATTGGTAAAACCAGCTTGATAAATTAATACATTTTTCATTGGACTGACTTCCACTATTTCAATTTCTCTTTTTCTCTGCTATTTGTTCTGTAACTAACTGGTTGTACCTTTTTCTTTTGTGTGCCAGCTTAAATATAAGGCTGACTATGTCAAGCAACGTGGCCATCATATTGGATGTCATGATCTTCACGATGACCCCAAAATGGTTTGGTGTATGCATGTCGGCAAGATGCAGAGCAGCAAGGAGTACAGGAAGGAATTTGAGAAAACTAAGGCCAATGTACATGTGCCAGTCGACATGTTGGACATAGTGATGTCTAAGATATGTCAGGGACGGGTCAGTGAGATTGACTACAGACATTACTTGCATGAATGGACCTGTCTGCCAGACCAGAATGATGTGATCCAAGCAAAGAAGGCTTATGATTTGCAGAGTGATGTGAGTATTAGCATACTTCCATTTAGTGTTTTACCCTACCCATTTTAATGATTCATCCTGGACACTAGCATCCCTCTGGTACTTTGCCCATGTGCTTTGGACATAGGTAGCCTCTGTTAACCCTGACCTTTTAGCAAAAGTTGACCCAATCTGATACTTTTGCATCATCCTGTCACCATCAGTTATTGTGTGATTCAGCTAAAGAGCCAGACAGAGAACATGCTGAATAGAGTTGAGAAGAATTCAAAACCAGGATGTATCTCCTTCATTTTTGCCATTTTGAAGTTTGCTGTCATTCTCATATGTCGTTCTTTCCCATTTAGTACCTGTACAAGTCAGACCTTGAATGGGTACGTGGTTGTGGTTGGATTCCCTTGGATTCAGTCGAGCATAAAAAGGTGAAAAATGCACAGGCGATATTAGCTGAAGTGAGTATAGCTTATCCTATGTGTTTGGTTGCCCATGGGTCTTTTAGGGATTTTCATTCTACATTAACATAAAACATTTTGTTCATTTTCTGTCTCTTTGTTCATTTTCAGAAAGCATATAAAGAAAAGGCTGTTGCTAATTTTGCCAAGTTTACACCAATTACAGACCTGCCAGAGGTGGTACAGGCCAAGATAAATACAAACAACTTGAGTGATGTAAGTGTCCCTCCGTGTTTTATAATGAATACTTAAAACATTTTGATATTACTGTTTGGAAGAGCAGTCTGAAGTGGCAGTAGCAGTAACATCAGCATGCATTACCTTTTGAAGCAGGCTTAGATACCATTTTGTTATTGGATGACTGTCAGCTTTATATTTTCATATAGTTGTACTGAAAGTCAACTTCACAACTAAATACAATGCTTTAACTTAATGATGAACATTTTAAAAATTCTTAAACAGTCCTTTATTCACTGATTTTATTAAAATAAATAGCTTAAGCTGATCTAATTCAAACAAGGTGGCCAGTTCTTTAGGAGGAAATCAAGATATACTTTTTCACTCAGGAAGCAAACTTATTGTCAATTTCTCTCTGGCCAAAGGAGAGGTCCCAGAGGAATGTAAGACAACTAATGAAGTACCATTGTTCAAGAATGGTGATAGGGTCAATAAGCCAGTGAGTCTAACATCAGTGATAGGGAAACTCTTCACTTGGAGAAACAAGGATTTAGCAAGGACAGTCAAACTTGTTTTGTCAGAAAGAGATCATGCCTTACAATTTGATTACAGTTTGTGCACATGAGCGTAATGCCATTTATATAGTCTGTAAGGCTTTTAACATGGTGTTTCATGGGAAGCTGTTCAAGAAAGTAAGAGCCCGTGGAATTCAGGGCAATTTGGCAAAATTTGATCCAAAATTGGTTTAGCAGCAGCAGGGTGCTGGTCAAAGGTGTGTTTGGAAGCCTGTGTTTTGTGGCATATCACAGAGTTTGGTGGAGGATCCCTTTCTATTTGTAGTAAACATTAATGATCTAGACATGAATGTAGGAGGTTTGGTAATCAAATTTGCACAGGATACAAAATTTGACAGTGTAGTAAAAAGGGAGGAGGAAAGCCTTAAACAGTAAGATGAATTAGCTGGTTGGTCAGATGGACAGAGCATTGGCTGATGGAGTTTATTCCTGAAAGGTGTGAGGTGCAGGGCAAAGGGCCATGCACAAGAAGATGGGATAAGAAAGGGCATCCTTTGTGTCTTTGGATCATCAAGCACAAGATGGGCTAACTGGCCCCCTTCTATGCTGTCTTTTTTCTACGATTCTATGTTCTGAAGTGGGAGGTGATGCAATTTGGGAGGACTGACAATGCAAGGAAGTACACAATGAATAATAGGACCCTGGGAAGTACAGAGGATCAAGGAGATCTTGGTATTCATGTATATAGACCCTTAGAGATAACATGGCAGTTGGATAGGGTGGTTTAAGAAAGCATATGTGAATCTAACCTTTATTAGTTAAGGCACTTATTAGTTGAGGCAATGAATACAGGAGCAGCAAGGTTATGATGAAGATATAAGTTATTGTATGAAGACGTTAGTTAGGCCACAGCCAGAATACTGTATGCGATTCTAGTCACCACACTATTGGAACTATGTAATTGCATAGGAGAGGGTGCATAGGAGATTCGCCAGTATGTTTCCTGGCTGGAGCATTTCAGATTGCTGTGAAGAGAGACTAGATAGTCTGGGTTTATTTTCCTTGGAGCCGAGAAGATTGATGGGTGACCTGTGGTCTACAAAATTATGGTTGGCATAAATTTAAGGTAAGGGACAGGTGCCTTAGAGGTGACTTAAGATCAGAAGATGGTGGGTATCTGGAACTCATTGCATGAAAGGATGGCAGAGGTGGGAACCCTCACAATATTTAAGAAGTAATTTGAATACTTGAAATGCCATAGAGTACAAGACTCTGAGCCAAGTGCTGGGAAATGGGATTAGAGTAGATTGGTGCTTGATGCCTGGAGCAGACTCAGTGGGCCACGAGGTCCTTGCTGTGCTGTAATACTTAATGAATCTATGATTGTGGGACTATATAATTTTCTCCACAAATGCTTCTGGTTGTGGCAACAACTAGCTATGTTAAGATAAAGATATAGTGTTTAATTTTGTAACGTTAGCAGGAGATAGGGTGAAAAGGTGAGAAAGTTGAGTTTGAAGTAACAATCAGCCATGGTGTGAATGGTGGAACAAATTCCATTGGCTGAATAGCTTATTTATATTCATGGGATTCTATTAAATCTTATGTCAATAATATAATAACAAACTACTGTGGCTCTGGAAATCTAAAATAAAAATAAAGGTCTGGAGATGCTCAGCAAGTCTGGTAGCATCAGTGGTAGTGACAAAAATGGAAGTAACATTTTGAGTGAAGTATCGAACTCCGTTAAGCTTGATTAGTCAATTTTGGCTTGTGAAGTTTTTGACACTCTCTCAAGCTGAATGGAATCTTGAGTGTTTTGAGAATTGTCTGCAGGTTATTGTTGATATTTATTAACTAGAAGTATGGTACCAGTGGCAGGTGAGTGAATAAATCACTGATATAGCTGATCTCACATCCTAAGCTCCAGTTTAAGTTTTTTACTATGACAATTTTACGACAAGATGTTAAGTTCCTCACATTTGTTTCAATGTTCATTGGATGTTGAAGCCATTGCTACAATGCTTTGTTTTTAATAAGGTTACTGATGTTATTTTTATCAGCTGAAGTACAAAGAGACATTTAACCTTGACAAGGGCAAGTATATTGGTGCTGCTGACTATCCCCATTTGGCTCATTCAAGGGAAATGGCAAAGCATATTAGTCAGGTGAGTTTTGATATGTTTTGTTTTGAAAATGTGACTTAATTATTGAAAATCATGTTGTATGATTTTACACTTTATTTGTAAGACCTACATACAATTGTAGACCAAGTTTGAAAGAACAATATAAGGTTTATGAGAATCCATTCATTACAAAACTCATTCCAGGTACAAATATGTTTTTACAAGTTTTACAGAAGTTATTAAGTTTTTCACAGCCATTGCTTCTTGAAAATAAATGGCAATACCAATACTTAATCCCTCACTATCGACATCTTGGGTGTTATTATTGACCATGAACTATTCTGGACTAGCCATATAAATGATGCGGTCAAAGGTTAGGAATCCTGCAGCAAATAAGTCAAATCTTTACTCTTCAAAGCCTATCTACCAACTACAAAACACCACTCAGGAATGTGGTAGAATTTATTTGCCTGGAAGCTCCAACAATGCTGCAGAAGCTTGACACCATCCTGGGTAAAGCAGCCCACTTGATTGGGACCATATCCGAACATTCACTCCATTACCATTGTCAAACTGTAGCAGTAATGTGTACCATCTACAACTGCAGACATTTACCAAGGCTCCTTAGATAGATGTTCTAAACTCACAATCATTATCAAGGTCAGCAGATACATAGGAACACCACTAGCTGCTAGTTCCCTCCGGGCAACTGGGCTTCCTGACTTGGAAATATATCACTGTTCCTTCAGTGTCACTGTGTCAAAATTCTGGAACCCACCCCCTAATTGCATGTTGAGTCTACCTATACCAAGTAGTTCAAATGGTTCAAAAAGAAAGCTTATCACCATGTTCTCAAGGGCAACAAGGAGTGGGAAAAAATGCTGGCCACATCCTATTAGTTAATTTTAAGAAAAAAAAAACCATGACATTATCATCTAGAAGGACAAGCGAAGCAGACACATGAGAATTATGTCCTTCCTGTCCAAGTCACTCACCACCGTAACTTGGAAATGTATCAACATTCCTTCACTATTGCTGGTTCAAGATCTTAGAACTCCTTCCCTAACATCACTGGGGGACTAACTAAACTAAGGGAAATTAGTGATAGGCAATAAATACTGGCCCAGCATTGCATGCCCCGTGAATAAGTGAAAATGGAAATTAGTTCATGTTTACTCTTGAATTCACTAAACAATATACGCCCAATTCCTGATTGATCTATTTAAATTAAGTAATGGTCATCTTATTGATATCTCATCCTATTGTCTCCTGATTCATTCTTTCATAGGTCAGTCTTTTTTTAATAACATCTCTTTTGTGACAGGTTGGCCCTCCTATTTTATCAGCTCCATCGATCTTTACCAAGATTCGATTGTAATAATGAACAATTTATACATCTGCTTAGAGTATTAGCGTAACCTCTTAGTGATTAACTATCATCCCAAAGAAGACATCTAACAAGATTAAAACAGTGACAAGACTCACACTGGAACATAATTGCTTTATATATTTTAGAAATTATATCTACAAACATATATATAGATGTTTTCATATGTATAATATATCGATAGGCTCAAACTCTTTAACGTATAGTTGTATGTTTGCATAAGAACCTTTTTATTTTGACATATTCCCACATGTGTTAACATGTTATATAGGCTTGAGTCATAGAACAGTGACCACAAAACCATATACCCTTTCTTTTGACTTGAGCCCTGTGACATTTTCCTGACAGAAACTATTGAACAACCAACAACAATTAAACCAAATCATTTGCTTAATCAAGTCAAATTAATAATGATTGAAAATAACTCAATCTTACAAAGTTGCTACTTTTTAATTTTTTTTACACTATATAATTAGTACTATCAAGTAATAAACCTCATTTATTAGGAGAAGCAGATTGACTCAGTTGTTGTCTGACAGTATTGTTTTTGGCTTCATCTCTTTATATTAAAATACGTTTATATCCTACAGAAAGTTTATAAGGATGACTGGGATAGCCACAAAGCTTTAGGATACACCTTGCCTCCAGACTATCTGCCACTGGTTGTTGCTAAACATGCTGATAACGTAAGCAGTGAAGTAAGTAGACTCTAATTCTCAATTCTTTGGTTTTTTTTTTCATGTCATTCATTTATTACATGTGTTTGCTAACAAACATGAATTTGATTTCCCAGTTGAAGTACAAGGAACTGTATGAAAAACTCAAAGGGCATTACTTGGCTGGAGGAGATATCAAGGACTTCCCTGCTGTAATCCATGCAATGGCTATGGATAAAATGAGGAACATGGTATGTATCATTTGAAAATTGTTAACCTGTTAGATAATCAAAAACATTATATTATCATTTGGTAATATTCTGTCGTCCAGTGTGCCATTATTATAGAACACAAGCGCACACCTTCTTTGCAAGCTTAACTACTGCAACGCTTCTGATGCTTGTCCAGAGAGCATAAAAAGGGACATGATCCCAAGCCTGGTGAATGAAGTTAGGATAGGGAGTTAAGATGAGACACAATGGTTTTTCTGGAGATTAGCAATCATTATCAGATGGCTGTTCTACTCAAACATTTCCCCAACTTGGAGTTTCTCTGCATTTCTTCTGGAACCTTTCTAAGTCTGGCTTTAACAGAAGTATAGAGCATAGCATCCCTCTGAAAGTGCAGCAGAGCAGGGTTTGGGAGAGACAGATGCTTTTTTCTTTTTGACACTAACTGCTGTATGGTAAGTTAAGAGTTTAGTTTGAATATTAGTGAGTGTATCAATGGGTGAGAATAGGCTTTGAGGTACCTGGGTAGTGGGATAGGGTGAGTGAGACTACTGGCTAAGCCAATGATGCTTACATCCTATGAATGATTTTAGAAAATGGACTTTGAGGTGGCAATGAGTGGGGTGGCACATGGGTAAAGTGGTATGTCGGTAGGAGTGTATATAAATGAGGTGGTAGTGAGGTAATCCATGAAGTATTCAAGCTGGCAAATGGGTAAAAGTGGCAGATGAATATGATCACAGATGGATGCAATGGCATAAGAATGATGTATAACAGTAAAAGTGTCTGAAAGGGTTAATACTGAGGTGTGCTTTAAGTACCACCAACTATGATGGTATCATATGGGCATGGTGGAAGAACAGGTTTGGATCTTAAAGGAGTAAAACATCACAGTTTCTGGAACAATATATAACTTATGCATCGTTACTGACATGCAATAGAGCACACCTTATTTAAAACAAGATCTGTTCTCATTAGACCTGTAAGTAGTTTTCCTGAACCACATTGTGCTGTGTTTCGAATTTCAGTTACAGTGGTGAAGGGAGCCATTGGGCAGGCTATGATTGTGTGGAAGGAGCTTTGGGAAGCACAAGCAAATTCAAATGGGAAATTTTCATTAGGGCTTGCCTCCACCTTTCCATACGTTGTATCAACTGCAGACTTGGGAAGTGGTCTGCTTGTAAGCTTGTGATCCCTCCTTCTTGGTATGTGTTGTATATAGTCTGGATTGAATAGTAACTAGGCCTATATATCATCACATTGTCAGTATCCTCCATAACGATTTCATAATATCTGCAGAATTGAGTTGAGTTGAGATCCTCACATAATATCAAACTAAACGAGTAGATTGTATAATAGTTGGAACAAATGCATATCCAAGTAATATCTTATGTATTTTAGAACTTGTCTTTTCATTTAGGGTGGCACAGTGGCTACCTCAGAGTGCCAGGGACCCAGGCTTGATACCAGCCTCGGGTGACTGTCTGTGTGGATTTTGCACATTCTCCCCGTGTCTGCGTGGGCTTCCGTCGGGTGCTCCGGTTTCCTCCCACAGTCCACAGATGTGCAGGTCCGATGGATTAGCCTTGCTAAAATTGCCCTGTAATATCCAGGAATATGCAGGCTAGTTAGGTTAGCAATGATAAATGTGGGGTTACAGGGAAAGGGTGTGGGACAGTGTGGGTCTAGGTGGAAGGGTCCATGTGGACTCAAAAGGCCGAGTGGCCTTCTTCTGCACTATAGGGATTCTATGACCTGCCAATGACTTTTTTTTTAATCACAAGGTGACTGGAATAGGCTAAATGTAGTTCCACTTTATAAAGCACAGGCACAACGAGATCAATTTCTGAGCAGCAGATTGCACAGTGATTTGTAGGCTGCATTGTTATTTCATTGTACTTTGCTTGATATTTCTCAATGGGTTAAGACTATCAACTGAGTAGAGTTATTCCTGCAATAGAACATAGAACATAGAACAGTACAGCACAGTGCAGGCCCTTCAGCCCACGATGCTGTGCTGAACTTTTACCCTAATCCTAAGGTCTATCTAACCTCCACCCCTACCTTATACTATCATCCATATGCCTAACTAATAGCTGCTTAAATGCCCCTAATGAGGCCGACTCCACTACCCTCTCCAGCAATGCATTCCACGCCCCTAGCACTCTCTGAGTAAAGAACCTACATCTAACGTCTCCCCTACATCTACCTCCACTCACTTTAAAACTATGCCCCTCATAATAGCTACCTCCTCCCTACGAAAAAGTCTCTGGCTATCCACTCTATCTATACCTCTGATCATTTTGTACACCTCTATCAAGTCACCTCTCATCCTTTGTTGTTCTAAAGAGAAAAGCCCTAGCTCTCTCAACCTTTCCTCGTAAGACCTTCCCTCCATTACAAGCAATATTCTGGTAAATCTCCTCTGCACCTTTTCCAACGCTTCCACATCTTTCCTCTAATGAGGCAACCAGAACTGGACGCAATACTCCAGATGTGGCCGAACCAGGCTTTTGTATAGCTGGAGCATAACTTCACGGCTCTTGAACTCAATCCCTCTATTAATGAAAGCTAACACACCATACGCCTTCTTAACAACTCTATCCACCTGTGGCAGCTTTCAGGGAACTGTGGACATGAACCCTGAGATCCCTCTGCTCCTCCACACTGCCAAGAATTTTTCCATTAACCCTGTATTCTGCTTTCAAGTTTGTCCTTCCAAAATGAATCACCTCACACTTTTCAGGGTTAAACTCCATCTGCCACTTCTCAGCCCAGCTCTGCATCCTATCAATGTTCCTTTGTAACCTAGAACAGCCCTCCACACTATCCACAACTCGACCCACCTTCGTATCGTCTGCGAACTTACTAATCCACCCTTCCACTCCTACATGCAAATCATTTACTAAAATCACAAATAGAAGAGGACCCAGATCAGATCTTTGTGGTACACCACTCGTAACTGAGCACCATGTTGAATATTTTCCGTCCACTATCACCCTATGTCTTTTAAGGGTCAGCCAATTCTGAATTCAATATGCCACATTTCCCCCTATCCCATGCCTCCTTACTTTCTGCCTGAGCCTACCATGGGGAACCTTATCAAATGCCTTACTTAAATCCATGTATACCACATCCACTGCTCTACCTTCATCCACGTGTTTGGTCACATCTTCAAAGAATTCAATAAAGTTTGTGAGGCATGATCTCGCCCTCACAAATCCATGCTGACTACCACGAACCAAACTGTGCCTATCCAAGTGATCATAAATCCTATCTCTCAGAGCCCTTTCCAATAATTTGCCCACCACTGAAGTAAGACTAACTGGCCTGTAATTTTTTTGAATGAGGGAACATTAATAAATTAGAAGAATAATACTTGGAATGATATAAAATCCCAGCCAATAACTATTATTATTTATGGGTTTATTCAATGATTTATTGATCTGCATAGACGAAGAACACACCCCACAGTTTACTGTTGGAGCCATGCAGGTCATCTCAATACCTCTGGGTAGAGTTGAAACAATAAAGCTCAAATCAGCAACTTCAGGTTAAAGTAGAGCTAATATAGTAAATATCAGTCATTCTGTTTAGGATAGGGAAATGCAGCCAAGATTCTTGTTGTTGATTGTTATTCAACTGACTTGGCTTAAAGTTTGCATAAGCAAACATTGGATGACAATAGAATTTCATTTCAACACACTCTGTGGACCAGTAGTTCACTCAACGTTCTGTGAATTGTCACTTCAAATTCTATTCCAGGAGAGGTGCTAGTGAATATTTTTGGTATTTAACCTCACGTTCCATTTCCTGTATTTTATATAATTATTGTTTCCTTTCTTAGCTGGAATATAAGAAGAATTACGAAGATACTAAGGCTGCAGTTCACATCCCCAATGACATGATTAGCAATATTGTGGCAAAGAGATGCCAACATATTCTCAGCGACCTTGAATACCGCACCTATCTTCATCATTGGACCTGCCTGCCTGATAAGCATGATGTAATTCATGCGAAGAAAGCACAAGAGATCCTAAGTGATGTAAGTGACAACTTAATATATTCATGGGTCTTAACCATGAATGGTGCAGCACTAAGGAGAGACATGATTTATTATATACATGGAGGGTCTGTGCTGGAGCCTGTCGTATAATGGGAATTAATATGTTACATGTGATTGAGATTCCAAGAGGACCAAGAGAGAAACACTGTATGAGAAAGCTTTATTCAGTGTATATTATAGTGCAAAGAGTTTACAGGATTTACTGACAACAAGGGAAAGGTAGTCCTAGTTAAGATAGAAATGTAGCCAGCTCAGAACTGTAGCAATCTAGCTAGATAGTGCAGTCTTCATAGTCCAGTACAGACATCCAACAACCAACAGAGGCCATTTAAATGAAATCCATGGAGGGACAACCATGTATGGTTTAGTCCATGGGAGAAGCACAGTTCATAAGTATATATCCTCTAATTACAAATTACATCCTATAGGGAGAGCAGACTAATCACAGTAATTTTATATTTGGCGTTGAACAATATGGATAATAGAGCTGCAAGGAATAGTTCCACAGTGTCTCAATCATGGTAGAATTTATTCACTACTTGCCGTGGTGGTGCAGTTGGTGGAGCAACAAATGAAATTGTAAACAAGAGATAGTAGGAACTGGTTTTGCCAGCTTGGGAGTCTTGCCTTTGTGGTTTTCCTCGACTATACTGTTTATAGTTGAGCCTTCCAATTAAAATAATGAAGTAGTTTAAAAGTAGTATTGTTAATGTATTTCAAACACAAAATAAAGATGCCCCTGGTGTTGCTATGTTTCAATCATTCATCTTTATCTTCACATAATATAGAATACTAGCTACAATTTGATCTTGGTGTTTGTGGAACAGAAATTTTCAGAGGAATTTAACATCCTTGAAAGTTCTCTTTGCTGTTCTGTGGTTGTTTTAATGACTGGCATCAGTGCAACAAAATAGCTGGTAGAGGGAGATGTCAACTTTTGCTAACTTTATTTTTCAATGTTACAGTTTGTGTACAAGGATGACCTGAACTGGCTGAAGGGCATGGGCTGCTTTGCTTGGGACACTCCAGAAATTCTACGAGCCAAACACTCCTATGACCTACAGAGTGAAGTAAGATGTTCTTAGCTGTGTAGCAATTTTTTTTAAGTTTAATGATGTGAGTACTAAAATACAGGCAAACTTGTGGAAGATTAAATCAAGTTCATTTCAGGAAGATTATATCAAAAAATGATGAATGGCAAGTTAATCTGTGCTATTGGTTTGCATATTATTAAAGTACTTCAGATAAAATGTTGCAACATCCTATTGCTGTTAGCTTTTTCCATTGGGTTTCGGAACTTGAAAGAATCCATTAGGCTGTACACTAGAACGTACTTACATATCAACTTGTAAAATATGTTAAACATTGCTAAAAAGGGACAGGAATTGAATTCCTTTTTGTTTTACATTCATCAAGCTTGACATTAGATTGTGTCTCTCATGGTGATGCAATTGAATCTGTTGACTGTCAAACTGAGCTAACTGATTAACCTTAGATCAGGCAGGTCAACTCTCATAGGTCAGGGCATTGCCATGAGAAATGCAGCACAGATTGACAACTCTTTCTCACTGAAAAAAGGGTGACCAAACCAATGAGTGCCCTATTCCCATGTGAGAAAAATTAGTGTCTCCTTTCAAAGCTTGGTTTTTTTGCATCCCTGTACCAACGAATGCAAGACTTAAATCTTTGTTAAAAAGAGATACAAAATCAATGTTTAAATTCTGTACTACTGAGCAATTATTTGTAAAAGATCACATTGCTTCACGTTATAAAACAATTGGCTGAGTCCATACTTTGGTGACGAGTGAGGAAAGTAGAAGAGTACAAAAATACAGTGCCACTAAATACGAACTCAACTCAATGATTTTTCAAATGCTGAGTTTCTAATCTCAACCTAAGCTATAATGAGAAAGTGCTAGGCAGAAGCAAGAGAAATGTCAGGGAAATAAAGCAGCAAGTCTTTAAAGCTTTATACTACCTGGTTACGGGATAGTTCAGGTAGAAGACTAGGAGCAGTCACAGTTCTTTCCAATAAGTTGTTACATATGATTTGTAGATTAATGTGATGAGAAAAGAGCATTAGTAAAGCACAACACAACATTATCACAAAAAATGACTAAAAGACATTATAAAAATTAAATATGTTGCAATGCTTCCAATTAGTGATACCTTGCAGTGCATGGTCAGACCTGTAATCTCAGTTTAACAAAAAAAAGGTTCCAAGTAGCTGAGTGGAATCGGGTGTTCAGCTTGTAGGCAGGATAGCCACATAACTAGGTGCTCTTGTGGCATTAAGTTTGGAGCTATCCAGATCATTGGTTGATCTGGAGGCCCTTCAAAGGCCAATTAGTTACCAGGAAAGGTCACCATCCCACTGCAGGCTTTAAATAACTGAGATGTAAGTGGCCTGTAACCATGTGGTGTATACGACAGGTAAACCTAGGTAAGTAAACCTGTCAGCTTTGGGTGAAGGAGCGGGCAGGAGTCCCTTGATCACAGGCAATTGGACAGCAGCAGGGAGTTTGCTGAGAGCTACCCTTTCCTCTTGCTTCTGATCACCCATTCCCCTGACATTCACCTCTCCAGAAAACGGCCCCCTACATTAAAAATCACCTAAACCACACACACACACACACACACACACACACACACACATACACACACACACCCAATGAATAAATTACTTATTTTTCAACTTGATCCTGAGAGTTTAACGTGATCTATAAAAGAAGCAAAGGTGATATGAGAAAAAAACATTTTTCACTCAGTGAATGGTTAGGGTATGGAACGCACTGCAGGTGTGTTGGAAGCCGGTTTAATTGAGACATTCAAGATGAACATTGATGCTTATTTGGATAGAAGAAGTGTTCAAGGGTATGGGAAAAAAAACAGAAGATTGGCGCTAAGGAAAGATGCTTGTTGGAGAGCTGGTGCTGGTATGATGGGCTGAATGGCCTCCTTCTGAACAGTAACTAGGCAATGTACTGTCTGTTGCCTCACCACTGCTTGATTGGCATTAGATTTGGTCCATGCCTTAAGGAGTCAGTGGGATATATCACCACCTTTCTAGCTGTTTGACCAGACCAATGCTCCTCAACAAGATTCTGCCCGATAGCTGAAATGAAATATTGCTGCAAAAGGACATACTTTTCTGGATGTATTCTTTGTTGCATTAATCAGGACAATTGCAAGAAGACCAATCCAATGAGAAAACTAACATTAATACTTCATGAGTGCAGAGTACTGATTGGTAGAGGTGTTGCCATGGAGAATGCATGGCAGTTAACTGTTAATCATAATAATTCACCACGGCAACAACTCCATCTATCAGTCTACTTGCCAATTAATCAGCACTGTCCTTTTTTTTAATGCACTTGTGGGACATGCACTTGGGGAGGCACTTGCCAGTGGTGTTGTTTCCATGTATCTGCTGGCATTATCCTTCTAGATAGATCTCGTTGTTGGTTTACAAGGTGCCTCGTAGTGATCATTGGTGAACTTCTGCACAGCATCCTGTAGATAGTACACACTACAGTCTGACCATTGGTCTTTGCCTTAGATTGGCATTCTAGCAAATTGTTCCAATGAATGCAACATGAAAAGTTTGACAAATATCTTTTTTCAGCAATTCTCAAGTTCTGAGTCACCAAACGACTGTTAGAGATGAAATATCTTGTTGGCAGGAAACCAGCATTTAAAAAATTTGGACACTTGATTTATTACAGATCACATACAGAACTGATGGCAAGAAAAATTTTGAGAACTACTCTGTGATCACAGATACACCAGTCTATATGACAGCCGTCCAGAGTGGCCTTCAATTAAGTGATGTAAGTATTTGTCTGCTTTCATTCCAATGACCCTAAATAGTTTTATCTTACTCTGCAAGTTCATAATTATCTGAGAACTCTTTCCATGTATACTTCTGTGTGAGGTCTTCTGTCCTTTGACATCCTCTATATATCAGGGCCTGGAGGTTACTGTCGGTCTGACTGGTGGATTAATGCATTTCATTAGCAATCCTCTCCCTGACATTTTAGCCCAGGTTAAAATAAAATTGTTCATTTAAGCCTTTATTGACCAAGTCCTCCAGTTGCTGCACCCCAACTTTATTGGGGTAGAAACTCTCAAACATCATGCTTGTTTCTTGGGTGAAAAGGTAGAATTGGGGACCAATACTGCTGCACAATCTTTCGTGTCAGATGAGCCTCAAGACTTTGGCTGCAAAATTGGAAGAGGTTATTTTCGCATGTGTAGGGGTTTCACTGAGACAAGTGTTAGAAGCACAGAACATTTATGCCACTGAAGGTGGCCATTCAGTCTATCATGTCTGTGCCAACCAAAAAAGTTATGAAGCCTTATTCCACTTTTCATCTCTGGGTTGCAGTCCTTTAAGTTACGTAATTTAAATGTGTATCCAAGTTTCTTTTTAAATGTGATGAGGATTTTTGACTCTACCACCCATTCAGACAGATGCCTTACATAAGTAAATTAGCATTTGTCTTAGGACCAACTCTCAATTTTACATCAACCGGACAGAGCTTTCCCTGTGTATCAGTTAGTCCAGAACTATCATGACCTAATCAGCAGATCTTGAAGGAACTATTGGAGTCTACTCACAAAAAGAGGGTGTGAACATTTTTTTATGTTGATGTACTCTGAAGCCAAGAGGAGCAAAGCCTCTGTCTACACAGTCTAGCATCCTCTGTTTCATCTGTTTGGTAGCATTTATTGCCCTTTCTTCTATACTAATTTTTTTTTTTTGGGAACATTTTCACATCTTAGCTCACAATATGTTAAGTTATGTAACCTTCAACTAACAGGTTGATTTTTTTTGGTCTTGCAGGTTAGGTACAAAAAGAACTATGAGAAAAACAAGGACAAATACACAACAGTTTTAGACACTGTGGATTACAACAGGACCAATGGCCTCAAAGCTATGTTTAGCAGTGTAAGTTTTTTTGCATGGATATTTTGAGGAAGTATTAAATGGACAATGTTCTTAGATATATAAACAGATACATTTCATCAATACCTGCGGAGGTTCAATAAGTGCACTGTATAGTGATGCATTTAGCAAAGCATTCTTTAGTCAGATGAACACGAGTGAATGATAACCTGGTACCAGAAGGAGACCAGTGCCCCTGAAACTGCAATCCAAAATGAATTATCATCTGCAGGCGAGTTGAGGAAGAAAGGAAAAGAAACAAGAAAGTCATTTTACCGCATCCTTAATATGTGAAATGATTAGAATAATGTTATTGCAATGACATCATTGCAAAAGTCTCTGTTAACAATAACTGCCAACTATATGAGATGGATATGAAGACATAGTCCCATCTATGATTGTCCAATACCCTTGTCCACTCATACATGTTACTATTGATGATATTTTAAACCTACTTAATTATCATAAATATAAGGTGTTAGTTATCCCATCACTTCACCAGTAGCCACTAGACATCCATTTTCCGTGCTCTCTTTCCAGCTTGTCACTCTTCCTTTCACAGGATGTAATTGGGATAGTTTCTGTGATGATAGTTAAAAACTAAGCCGCAGGAGTGGGATAAGGCAGGTGGAATTTTAAAAAAAATAAAAATTCTGTTTTTTTTGGAAAAATAGTATGAACTATTTCATGTATTTTGAGAAACCTGACTCAAGGGCCAGAACCCTCAGAACTGGACATCTCCAAAGTGGCATGTGATAAAGGAGAAACAAAATATATTCAGAAGCAGCAATCAGATGACTCCAAACTTGAGATTTGCAAATTTGTAGATTAAAGGAGAAAAGGAAATCAAAGGTAGGTGAAAAATCCCACAAGTTGAAATTCCTGGAGAAGAATTAGAAGGGACAGGTTTCAACGCAACGAGGGAGTAGGGTGGATTAGAAGTGTGTAAGAATGATAAATTTTCATTGAGGTTAATAAAATAATGCTGTTATGCTCTTGTATTTCATGGCATCATCCAAGACTTTGGTGCATGGTTGTGTCTTTTGTTGGCAGTCAAGTAACATGCTCTCAATCTCTTGTCAAGTATTTAATTGTTTATATTCGCATCTTTGTGATACGAAATGCATCAACATTCTGGAGCATTATGCAATGTTTGTTCTAATATCACTCATTCTTGCTAGTTATTGAATTGTCTATTTATTTATTAATACATTCATTTACTTGAACCACCATCATTGGTGTACATGCTGTTTTTGATAATGTTGTTCAATGTGAAAACAATGCTTCTTCCACTTCCACAAAATCACCCGTGTATTGTTTCTCCAGAATGCTTACAAACTGGCCTGGGATAAGGTGAAAGCAACAAGCTATACAATGCCAGGAGATTCATTTTCGATAGCTCTGGCCAAGGATCAGAAAGACATTCTTAGTCCAGTAAGTAGAAAATTGCCGTGAAATGTAGCTAAGGCCAAGTAGCTGAGGATATGTTCCTACATCCCTGGCACTGGCAGGAAGAAAGATTTTTCACAATTTGTTTTCTTTTCTAATGCAAGATTGTAAAACTGTGTGCACTCAATCTTTCAGATAAAGTATCGGGAAGAGTATGAGAAGTTCAAGGCTCTCTACACACTGCCACGCTCTGTGGAGGATGATCCACATACCATGCAATGTCTGAAAGCTGGCAAGTTGAACCTTGATGTAAGTAGTGTTCAGATTGCATCATGAATCCAGAGTGAGTAGGCCTGAATAATTTACAAACTTCTCCAAGTGGCATTGTAATTCCTTCTGTGGCCAACTCTTTTATGGCCAAGGTATCCTTAGTTGTTCCAGAACTGAGGTGATTGGAACACACTTCTAAGAAACAATGAGGAAAACAATTTTGATCTGGGGATCCGCAATGCTTTATGCTATTAAACCAGAATCATTTGATAATTACAGACAGATCCAGTATCACCCAGAATGCATTATTCTCATTATTCATGCTAAGTCCTGTAACAAGTCATAATGAACTGCCTCGTTTTAGATTTCAATCTATTATTTTGCATGGATGTTAAGTTTAAACTTGTGTCAATTATTTTATTGGTATAATATTGAATATATTCTTTGCCATACATCTGTAAGTTTTACAAAAGACAGTTAGCTACTTTGTATCAGGCCATGATAATGAGAGAATTATTGTTGTGCCTTATTTTTTGCTGAATTTTATTTGTCGCTACTTCATTCAATGAGAGTTGATTATTGGGGTGAAAATTCACTGGTGTTAATCCACTTGGTCTGTGCTTTGTGCAGCGTCTATACAGGCAAAATTATGAAAATAACAAAATGAAGGTGCACATCATGCCAGACATGCTGGAGGTGGTTGCTGCCAAAGACACCCAAGCCAAAGTCAGCTATATTGACTATCGCAAGTATCTCCATGAATGGACGTGCCTGCCAGATCTACAGATTAACATACATGCCAAGAAGGTCTGCGAGCAACTGAGTGATGTAAGTGATAGTTTTCGGTTCATATTAATTTAGATCAAATAAGCAGCTGTAGTAGCTTTCCAGTTGTGAAATACCAAAATTCAGTGAAAATAGAGAATGAAAAACACCTCGCTGGAATCCTGGCAAAACATTTGGGGAAGCAGATTCAGTAGCAACATTTGAAAGGAAAATGGAAATTGGATATGCACTTATAGATAGATAATTGTAGAAAATTGTAGGGAAACGCAGAGAGAGGAGGGGAATAGATAATTAATTGGCTAGCGCTTCCAAATTGCTATCATAGGAGCCAGAAGTCGATCTTCTATACAATTTCCTGGTTCAATGCGTAAAGGCAATTGATCAACAAAGATAACAGTATTGATTTCTGATCTGTGTTGAGTAAAGTTGACTTCAACCAGCCTTCCAAAGTTCACTTCATTATCGTAGGGCTACAAAGAGTATAGCTACTAGCAATCTGCACATTGCCCAGGCTATTTGTCTGGTAGCAAGCACCATCTAGCCAGGCAATTAGTCAACCAAGCAATTATACATGTAATGTAGTAGTAATCTAAATAAGCCTGAAAACCAGAATATATATGTAAGAGGTATTGTATTAGTGTACATAGTTACATAGTTAGTTGTCCATTAGCCTCCAGATATCTGTTTCAGTATAAACCCCGACTCTTTCTGATATAATTCATATCGGTTAACCTATAGAAAATCATGAAGAACATAAAGTCATAGGGTCATAGAGATATACAGAATAGAAATGAATCTTTTGATCCAACTCATCTATGCCGATCAGATATTCTGAATAAATCTAATCCCATTTGCCAGCATTTGGCCCATATCCCTCCCAATCCTTCCTATTCATATACCCATCCAGATGCCTTTTAAATGTTGTAATTGTACCAGCCTCTACCACTTTTTCCGGCAGGTCATTTCATACACACACCATCCTCTGCATGAAAAACTTCGCTTTTCAATCTTTCCCCTCTCACCTTAAATCTGTGACCTCTAGTTTTGGACTCCCTCAACCTGGGGCAAAGACCTTGTCTATTTACCCTATCCATGTCTGTCATGATTTTATAAACCTCTTATAAGGTCACCCCTCAGCCTCCAACACTGTAGGGAAAATAACCCCAGTCTATAGCCTCTCCCTATAGCTCAAACCTTCCAGCCGTGGCAACATCCTTGTAAATCTTTTGTGAACCCTTTCAAGTTTCACAACATTCTTGCTATAGCAGAGAGACCGGAATTGCATGCAAAGTTCCAGTAGTGGCCTGTACAGGCGCAACATGATGTCCTAACTCCTATACTCAATGCACTGACCAATAAAGGCAAGCATACCAAACACCTTCTTCACTATCCTGTCTGCCTGTGACTTCACTTTCAAGCAACTACGAACCTGTAGTCCAAGGTCTCTTTGTTCAGCAACACTCTCCAGGACCCTACCATTAATTATATACGTCCTGCCCTGATTTGGCTTTCACTCTGGCAGTAAGGGATCACAACATGGTAACAGCAGCAATAGCAAATGGATTGTTGAAGAAACTGACAGCAAGTCAGTACTGAAACGACAATTGCAAAACTTATTTTCCTAACAGTCATTCTTCGCCTCATACCTGAGTTACATTTTAACAACAAAGACTGAGGGCAACAGCTATTGTGAAACAAACAAGCTGTATGTATTGTCCCGCTTCATAAAATAAAACAGATCACAGTTGATTCAAATTTTAGAAACTAATTAAAAATAGGTCTTTTAAAAGATGCTGAAAGAAAAGCTTCAGCCCACTGCTGTGATCCTGGAATGAAATGCAAAAAAATCCAAACAATACACTGTTAAACACCATTTTTAATATTATAAAGGCCTTCCCTGTGTCCAGAGGTTGGTTGATCCCACCATTTTGTTTTCTCAAAGTCGGCTACTCTTTTGCTATAAGTGCTACCTACAGTCCCAAGCCAGCAACTATTAAGGAAGAAATGTCTAAAGCAACTTCTAAAGCTACAAGGCAACGAGACAACAGAAGCTTTACATTGCAACTCAGGTTTTTATTTGTAATTTAAAAAGCAAAAGAAGCACTGAACTGATGAAAAGCAAGCATGTGGACTGGTATTCCAGTATCATTTTATCTGAACTCCAGTTTTGTAAAGTGAGAATGAATCTTCACTTTATAGACCAACTGATTGCAATAAGGAGAGACAGGCTGGGAAGCTTCTTTTCACTTTGGGGAATGAAGAATTAAATCCTCTGGTAATTTGAGTGATGATTATAGTGGTCCAGACAAGACCTTCTAAGTAGTAAGAAGACCAACTCAACATCAGAAACAACTTCAGGGTTCATAGACTTGAATTCCTGTGATGCTGCCTCCAGCTAGGTGAAAATATTGACGAATTTGTTGGCACTAATGTATATAAAGTGAATTTACTGAAGCTAACTTAGCTGAAACTTAGTTAATTTTCTCTAGACCCATTTAAATCTTTCTCAAATACATTTCTGGACGAACCTAAATATTGCACTATTGATACCCTGCTAGAAGAAGAACAAAATTTCGAAGAACTTGTAGCAGGACAATAGCACCTACAGGTCCTTGACTCTGCTATAACAATTGCAATTGTCAACAAGAATGCTAAAATACACAAATCGAGTATGAGATATAGACTGTTTTAGTGGATATGATCACTTCCAGCATCTTGCAACATGTTCAAGCTAGGTTCTACAAGAGAACATTGGGCTAAAATGTGCAAGAAGTCCACATGTTTGAAGAAACCTAAAGCATAATGCAATTCTCTGCAGCAACACAGAATTAATGCCAAAGGTATTTCTGGATTTCCATCCATGGCACACAAGCATAGCAACAAACTGTAAGAGGTGAATGCAACATTGCAGCTCACAGACTCCTGTCAGAAGGTAAATGTACTCACTCTGTCACACCACATGGGTGCCATCAGAAAATCTAAAGCCTTTACCTCTATCCAAGTGATGTGCTGATGCACTGACAAAAGGCATGATCAACATACACTCTTTGCCAAAGCTGACACTGATGCAAGTGCAAATATCACTTTTTATAAGCATCGTATATGAGATAAACCCAGAAAACTGGCACAATGTGGAGCAATTGACAGATGATAAACAAACTGCTTTCAATGGTCTCAGAGATAGTAGGAACTGCAGATGCTGGAGAATCTGAGATAACAAGGGTCTAGGCCTGAAACGTCAGCCTTCCTGCTCCTCTGATGCTGCTTGGCCTGCTGTGTTCATCCAGCTCTACACCTTGTTATCTCTGCTTTCAATGGTCTGATGTCTTTACGTTAGAATTATTCATCTTAAATGTCAAAGTGGGTCCTTGGGACAGACACCTGAAACCTTTTATATTGCTGATAGGGCGGGATCATTGCTCATTGATCTAACAGAATGAAACAGATGACACAACTGAGATGTATATAATCAACCAGCCATCACTCAAGATAGTGACTCTGATACTAAAAGTATCACATCCAAAAACAATCAAACACCCATGGTGCATGATACAAATCGATTCACAATGATAATCAGTACATCACATATTGAAGTTACACAACCAAGTTATGATATTTGTGTAAAGACTGGATCTGGTTATATTATGTGCCCACTGAAGTGATATCCTAATGTAGAAAGATGATGTTTCATTGTGCATCCCTTTATGTATTCAAAAGAACAGGTTTCCTACTCTGCAAAGGGAAAAGGGAGGTGTTCTATTATTTCACAGATCTCAGAAAGGCCTTACACCTGGAAGACAGCTAGATGCTATTGCAACATGTCATGGTCTAGTATAAGAGGTCTCCATCTGGCTCTATACATTCCATTTATTGGCAGTTGGTCTGTTAACAAGAAACTAGTTAGATTGTCAGTTAGACAGCCAGTCGACTGTACACATAGTGTGATATTAATCTATGTAAGCACTAACACAGACTGCACATGTAATTCTGTGTCATGTTTAGTTGTTAACAAACTTCCAGATATCTGAATCAATATGACCCAACTCTTTGTAGTGTTTATTACATGGACATAGAGAAGACCACATCTTGTTGAAATTTTTAAAATACTGAGAGGCCTGGATAGAGTGGATGCAGAGAAGATCTTTCCACTAGTAAGAGACTAGGACCTGAGAGCACAGTCGCAGAGTGAAAGGATAACCCTTTAGAACTGAGATGACAAGGAACTTCTTCAGCCCACAGGGTAGATAATCTGTGGAACTCATTGCTGCAGAAGGCTGTGGAGACCAAGTTGTTGACTATATTTAAGACAGAAATGGATAGGTTCTTGACTAGAAAGCGGATCGAGGGTTAAGGGAAAAGGCAGGAGAATGGGGTTGTGAAACATGTCAATCATGATCAAATGGTGCAGCAGACTCGATGGGCTGAATGGACTAATTCTGCTGCTGCATCTTATGATGTTATGGTCTTATGTTGGCAGCAAATGATTACATCAGCATCTAAGACTAAAGCATCTTTGGAGGTGTTAAGGACAAGGTCTAATAAATTCCATGCTCTTTATGTAGTGGCCTCGAGCAAGCACTATCAATGTGATGACTAGACTGCTTCCTACTTATAGGAAAGGTTGAAGGCTAGAAATTACTGTTGAAGTTCCCTTCTCTTGTTTTTCTACTGCCGCTGATAACAGCACCACAGTGCTGATTACATTTTTCTTTCTATGATTTCAGGTTCTGTACAAAGATGATCTCAACTGGCTTAAAGGAATTGGTTGCAATGTCTGGGACACTCCTCAAATACTTCACGCTAAGAAATCCTATGATCTACAAAGTGATGTATGTTGGGAGGATTTGTCACTTCAATATGATATTGCCATTGATTCTCTGTTTCCTTCTTGTTACTGTCTTTTAACAGGCACTGATCATTTAATTTCTTTTCCACTTTTATTTATCCCCGCAGATTCAATACAAGGCGAAGGCTGAGGCATCAAGGGACCAGTTCACCCCAGTCATGGATACTCCCACTTATCGGCAGAATGTCACCAACGCTCAACAGTTGAGCGATGTAAGTATTTTTTTGAATCAATTTATAAAAAGAGACATCAATAACATAGACTTAGAAATCTACTATCAGCTGCGGGTTAAAACAGAATGATAAATGCTATATAGTGTCATTTCCATATATAACATGTATTGCTTTATTACACTTTCAACATAGTCTGCAATACATTTTCTGACTTGAATATTTACCAAATGCCTACTTACAATGTGTATTCACATTAGAATATATATACTTGTACAAATACACATTGTGCTGACATAAAAGCATTTCAAGACAGACATATATGTGCATTGATGTACAATTCAATTATTTTGCTTTTAATATTTAGAAAATATATTATATATGAAAATGAAGTATTTTATTAATTCTCTTCCTTGTTTTTCAGTTTGTGTATCACAATTCCTATGTGACAAATATCAAAGGCACAGTTGCTCCAACCACAAAGACTATGGATCTGGATAGAGCTAGACATGCCTATAAGTTACAGAGTGAAGTAAGTATGCGTCTCTGTTAGATTTTTAAAATAAATCGTGGGAAACCTCTCCAACTAATTGGACTTTGTGACATTCCTTTTGTAGAATCTTTATCGTGATACAGGCCGAAGCCTTCTCCCCACCGGATATACCATTCCAGCAGATATCCCATTCTTAAAGCATGCCAGAAATGTTGATCATAACCGCAGTGATGTAAGTATTACCCTGAACCCCACTTTTGAATCTCTCGAATCAGGTTTCCACACCTGTTGCTGCACTAAATGAACTGTTCACAACGTTACAAATCATGTTCTATCTGACAAAGGCAAAGGTAGGTTTCTGTCCTAGTCCTTCTGGTCTTTAGCCTTTGACATGGTTCTCAACACACTTCATCCAATTATCCTCCGCTGCCATCAAGATGGCAGGACTGAAGTCACATAATTCCATTCTTATTTATCAAACCTCAGTCAATCACTGGATCTCCAGGACCTACCCTTGGCCATGCTCCTATTTTTCATCTACATGCTGCCCTCCAGCTACATCATTCAAAGATTTAGCATTAATTTTTCCACGTACACACTCTGCTCTCCCTCACCATCATCTCTCTCAACTTTTCCACCGCTAGTAAATTATTCAGCTGTTTGGCTCACATTCGGTACTAGAGGAGCAGAAATTTTCTCCGATTAAATCATGAAAAGACTGAAGCCAATATTTTTGGTCATTACTCGAGGATTTCATTGTCCAGTTACCATCACCATCCTAAATAACACAGCGTGGAGCTGGAGGAACACAACAGTCCAGGCAGCACCAGAGGAGCAGGAAAACTGACATTTCGGATCGGGACCCTTCAGAAGAAGGGTCCCGACCCGAAACATCAGCTTTCCTGCTCCTCTAATGCTGCCTGGCCTGCTGTGTTCCTCCAGCTCCACACTGTGTTATCTCTAACTCCACCTATGGCAGTTCTTACTATCTCACCATCACCATCACCATCCTGCTCTCTAGCAATGGTCTGAGATTAAGCCAGTCTGCTTTCTTTGTGGTAATTTTGAAACGGTTTTCACCGTTATTAAGATCAGTTATTTCCATTTCAGAATATCAGCTCTTAACTCATCAGCTACTCTTTCATGCCTTGGTTACCTCTGGACTTGACTATTTAAAAGCACTCTTGGTTGGTCTCCTACATTCTATTCTCCATAAAGTTTCAAAACTCTGCTGCCTGTGACTTAAGGAGCAAATGCTGCTCCTTTATCTCTGTACACGTAATGTACATTGGCTCCATAAGGATTTAACTGATTCTTGTTTTCAGGTCCATGGCTTTGCCCCTCTCTGTTTCTGTGGTCTCTCCCAGGATATCTATGCTTCTCTAATACTGACCCTTGTGCATCTCCAATTTCAATTGCACCTCTGTTACTGGTCATGCTTTTCATTCTCTGGGCCACAACTCACCTTACAGCGCTCTGTCTCTTAACAATACTCCTTAACTATTTGTTTAATTAAGCTTTTGGCTATTTAACCTAATATTTTAATGACACCTTGTACCATGAATTGTTTATAATAAGCCAGATAATATTATGGTCCGAGAACTGTTCCTCAGTGATGTACCACCCCACCAGAGATGCAAAGTCAGGTTTCTGAGATGGCCAAACAGAAGATTGTGTGAGACTATATAAGTTATAACACAGGTAGAAAAGTATTAAAGAACTGAAGTTAAATTGCTTCAAAAAAAGAGAAAGTAAAATTTTATCTCGCGGGCAGGATCCAGTTTCAGATTTTGGACAATGTTACAGTAAAATATATCAACTAAAGTGTCCATCAGTTCAAAAAGTAACATTTACTTTAATTGCCCAAGTGAAGTGAGATGTATCTGTCCCAGTTCGGGAGAAAATTGTCTTCGCTTAGTCTCAGAAGTCAAATGTTTATTTAAGATGAGACACTTTAATTTGGTTTTAATCACTGTTATTTCCTACTTAAGAACAGCATTTTCTGATTCTACAAAAATTTATATAACTGTAAAATTTTACAATAGCTAAGACTATTATTGATTCCAGAAAAACTAAGCTTGCAAGGGCGGTGATGGTTAACTTCCATTAGTTTTAAGATTATAATGTGTTTCTCGGTCATATAAATTCCAATTGAGTGTGGTTTAGGACCACTGGCATAAACTCGTTCTACCAAATTGACCTACGTTGTGCTTTTTTTTTCTGACAATGTGCAAAACATACACAAGTGTGCAATTTTCGGGTGCAGATTTCTTACCAAGAAATCTATAAAAGACAATGTCTTCGCAAAACCATTTTAAATTATTTTATCCATTTTTAGCCTAAACACTTAATTAAGGCTGTTTTGTTTAAATGGATTATTGACAGCAAAGCTTAGTGAGCGGAACTTGAGGCAGATTATACACCAGACTGTATTAACTTCCTCAAAGTTCTGTAAGTGCAGTTTTCCAACTGCTGTGCCACTTGTGCTTAGTTGTCAACATCCCCATGAGTTTAGCTCTATAATTTTTCCCAAAGCATGCTGCTCCCTTTCTGACAATATTCCATCAGCAATCATTAAAGATCAGCTTTCAATATTTTAGCCTTTTTTTATTGTAGCTATTTTTCTTCCCTGCTTTTTGCTATCAGTTCTGTAGGAGCACTTATATCAGAATGTTGTGGATTCAAGTCCCATTCTGGGGACATTAGTTCAAATTCTAGATGGAAATCCATTGCTGTATGTGATAGAGGTGTGATAGAGGCGCCACCTGTTGGATGAAATATTATACCGAGGCCTCACCTGCTCTATTGGATGGACATGAAAGTCGCATGGTATAATTTCAGGGAAGGATAGAAAAGGTTACCTCTGGTGTCATGGCTAATGCATATCCCTCAAACAATATAATTGAAGTATATTATCTGGTATGGCATCATTCTTGCCCTTAATTACTTCACAGCTAATACTTTGAAATGTTGTCACTGTTGTAATGTAGAGAAGTATTGTTTGTACTGTTCCTCTAGGGTTTATGCTAATCACCCACCTTTTCTAAGGATGATAGTCACACAAATCCATGTGGTGAATGCAGATAGTGGTGTTAAAACAATGTTCACAGTAACTCAAAGATCACAGCACTAAATACACACACATGGAATCATAGGATTTACATGGCACAAATATTTCTGCCTGTTTGTTTCTTCTGTTCAACAACTATAAGATATTGTTCTTCTGATGGGCATGATTGTCAAAAATGTTTCTCATTTTCTTTTCTAGCTGAAGTATAAAGAAGCTTATGAACATATGAAAGCAAGAGGTTACAAATTGATCCCAGAAACCATCAGCATCACTGCAGCCAAGAAAGCAGATCTTATTTTAAACCAGGTAGCGTAGGCGTACTGTTAGTATGAACACATTGATCAGCAAAGATCTCTGTGCAAAAGGTGAATATTTGATGCATTTTATACTTTTCCTGATGCAGCGACTGTATCGATTGCATTATGACACTCACAAAGATAAGATTCACCCAACGCATGACACTCCAGAACTTCGTCAAGTCAAAGCTACACAGGAGGCAATCAGTGATGTAAGCTTAGGAATTGAATGAACTTGTCTGAATAATTTAACCAAGCATACTTTATTGGCTGAACAGAATTAAATGATTTGATTTGTTGTCTTCCTTTAGCTGGCATATAAGTCGGACTACTTCCGGTTCAAGGGTCGAAAGATTTCCCTTCCCATCACTCCTGAGCTACTCCATCACCGATATGTTGGCATTATCACTAGCAATGTAATTATTAAATCTGTCCTTGCTTATTCATACATTTTGTTTAAATTGTCCCTTATTGTTTTCTGAATGGTGCTAAGTTTGTGACTATGCCTTATATAGAATAAGTACAAGGAAGATCTCCAGTGGCTGAGGGGCATTGGTTGCTTCCTGTATGGAACTCCTGAAATGATACGAGTGCGTGACTTCCACAAATTCTGGGTATGTTTCCTTTTTCTTTGTAATATAGATATACCATTGTTCTTCTTCAAGTAAATTGTCTTGTGATGTTAGAAAATACTTGTAATTCAAAGACTTTTGCATAGAAATATTAATGTACTAGCAAAGACGAGCCATTGCTATTTGATTCAATAGCAACGAATAGGATTGTGGAATAAAGAGAGACCCAAGATTTGAGCCATGCAGTTGTTGTGATCTAAAATTATGCCATAAAAGTGAATTCTAATTTAGCAAAAAAATTGTTGGTCTAAGATCATGGATGATGACCAGGAACAGGGAATTCCAGAGATCTGTTCCATTCAGTCAATCCAGATGGCTGCTTGTGATGCAGAGTGATGCCAACAGCATGGGTTCAGTTCCTGCACCAGGTGAGATCACCATGAAGGTCCCACCTTCTCAATCTCACCCCTTGCCTGAGCCATAGTCGACCTCAAGTTAAACAAGCACCAGAGAGAAATAATGAGAGAGCTGCCCTATGGTTTCCTCCGCCTTACCTCTAAGTAAATGACAGGAAAACACCGTGAACAGTGAAATTCTGGAATAAAACCATAGATGCTGGAAATGCTCAGTTGATCTAGCATCATCTGTAGAGTGAGAAAAGTGGAGTTAATCCTTCAGTTTGACAGCTTAGCTTACGGAGGGTAAACAGGTAACTCCTGAGATAGTAAGTGGTAATTCTGAAAATATTTATCCTCCCAATCCAGTTAAAAAAAAAAATTTTTAAACTTCATCTTTGTGTGTTTCTTTCAGACTGGCTATGACAAAGCTGCCAAAAAAATACGTGACAAGCATACTTCAGTTCTTGATACTCCTGAATATAGACGTGTGACAGAACTGAAAACTCACTTGAGCAATGTAAGTATACAATCGTAAAGACACCACTTCATGGTATGCAAATAAGAATGGAATCATAACCTCACCTTCAATCTCAAATGGGTATTTGACTTTTATTATGTTTGAGTAAGGGGTGGCATGGTGGCTCAGTGGTTAGCACTGTTGCCTCCCAGTGCCAGGGACCTGGGTTTGATTCCATTTTCAGGGGACTGTCTTTGTGGAGCTTGCACATTTTCCCCATATCTGCGTGGGTTTCCTTCGGCTGCTCTGGTTTCCTTCCACAGTCCAGGGATGTGTAGGTTACGTGATTTAACCACGAGAAATGTAGGGTTACAAGGATAAGGTGGGGGTTTTGGTATGGGTCGGATGATCTTCAAAGGCTGAATGGCCTGCTTCCACACTGTAGGGATTCTATGATTCTATGAAGATGCTATGTGACATGAGGAAAATGATTTAGAGTTCTATGCAGTTATCTGAAATTGAGTGATGTAAAAGAAATATCTCTTCAGTTTGTGACAAAACTCCAATGGGGACTCTTGACAAAAAAGGAAACTGCAGGGGGAGAGAGCTCGAGAATGTATCTCATTACATCTCGGAATTCAAGAAAGGTGATCTACCTTATAATGGGCACATTCTCTTTTTCTGGCAAGATCACAATAAAAGGATCTGAATTATTCACCGGTTAATGTGTAATCGTTGCACTCAGCATTGAACTTAATGCAGGGACCATCAAGATGCCTGCTAGTACATCACAAGTCATCACCTTGCTGAAGATTTTGTGATTTGTTTGATATTATGTATGAAACCTTGTGATCACACACTGTAAGATTTCTCAGAACTTAGAATTTGTTTTTGAATCTCTACACTTCCAATCTAAGGCACCAATATTCTCCATGCCAAAATATAATATCACCTTTTTGGCCAGTCATGTTGCTTTGAGGGACCTTTGTTATCTTATGTGCCCTGAGCATGAGTTTTAGTCCTTAATTGTGAACTTTACATTGATCAGCTCGTTCTTTGTGAAGGAGGAAGATTAGAGCACTAATCTCTGGGTTCATTTCACTATAATATGACTTGTTTGCTGATACAAGACTGGAACTCAATCAAATTTCTATGACACAACTGACAATCCAATTTGAGCCAAGGAAGTCCACAGTACTGCGGGCCAGGCTTAATAATGCCTTAACTCTATATCTCTACATACTATCTTCCAACAAAAATCTATAAGTATCAGTCTTGAAAGGTTCACTTGTCACAGCAATGACATAGATATACATTCCTAACTGAGCAAAATGTGGACCCTGACAGGATTAAGCTCCTTTTGGAGACTCTTGAAACATGATGACAAATTTGCTACATATGCTACACCCTAACTTATCATATATCTGAACAAGGACATAACATAACGTGCGCCACATTTTAACAAGATAATTGATGCTTTCATTTGCTTCTTGTCAATTTTAGTTGGTATACCGTGCTCAAGGAAATGAAGCAAAAACAAAATACACAACAAGGCTTGATACTGTGGATCTAAACCGAGCCAAACACGGCCAGAAAATACAGAGTCAGGTGAGGTTGGACAAGCTGTTAAATGAAAATTATAGTTCTTATATTTAAAAGGTTTTAACATTCATTAATATCGCAAAGCTTCTAAGTGGAAACTGAAAGAAGGTTTTACATGACACCAAAGCAAGATATGTATTGAATATAATTTCTGACTACGGTCAGAAAGATTAAAAAAAATTTAGCTACCAATTCAAAAGAGCTGATGTAACAGTGAGTAAGATGATAGAAAATTCAAAAACTGTTGTGTTCTTCAGTGTGGAAAGATATATTACAGGTAGTTCTCCTATAACACGATAGTTACATTCTTGTGTGACCTCGTGCTATGGAAAATTGTGCTGTAGAAAATTGCAATACAGGGAAATAGCTATAGAAAATTGCTATACCTGTAAAGCAGAAAGTTAGTGTTATCCAAACAGCATCCACTATTCATCAATCGTGTTACAGCCAATTTGTGTTAATGAAACACATGTAATAGTAGAAATACCTGTATAAAATTGCTCTGCTAGTTTGAAAGTATTGTGAGACCTACCAAGTACTGTCTATTCCCACAATCTTATTAAAGTTTTTTTTTCTTCTGCAGTACCTGTATGTTGAATTAGCTACAAAAGATAGACCACATTACATTCCTCATGAACATACTACATCCCTGGATCACGCCAAGCATGTCAAAGATTTTGCCAGTGAGGTAAGAATTCATTATATATATATATAAATATGTTGTTTCAATTTATTTTTAAATGTACTCCACTTTAAGAAAATAAGTTGCTTACATTCGCAAGTCAAGAAAATGTACAGAATTGATTAAAAAAACACAATGAGTATGAAATTATTCTGCTGTCATTTAAACTGGACAGTTAACAAATTGAAAAAAAATATATATTAGGCTACACCTTCATACATATAGTGGCTCACAGCTTTTCAATGATTCACATGCAATGCATATCACTTCTCAATATGCAATGGGTTCCAGGGTGCAATGTACTAAATGTGTGAAAGGTTAAGATAGAAAGACCTGTGATTATTCAATTCATTTCATGATTCTAATGTCTTTTTTCTTTCCAATGTTAGAAAAAGTACAAGGAACAATATGAGAAATTCAAGAGTCAATACACTACAATTCCAGACACTCCAACATTGTTGATATCTAAGAAAGCGTACATAATCGCCAGTGATGTATGTATTGAATAATCCCTTTTTCCCATATATAAAGAGATTTCATATCCACCTGTGATTTTTAACATATTCAAAACACTCTTTTTGTTTTTAATAGTTACGCTATAAGGAAGCCTTTGAACATGCTAAAGGTCATTACCGTACGGTGAAAGATGCTCTGAACATTGTCTACCATCGCAAAGTCACAGATGATATCAGTGAGGTACACTGTGTTTATATTTAGGAAGCTGAAATCTTTGAAGTACTTAAAAACCATTCATATTGTATGAGCATGTTACAGAGAATAATGACACTGACATTGTAGGGCATGGTGACCTTTCTGGTTTTACCTCTTCTCTGCAGAGATATGGATATCTTCAGCTTGTCATCACTCTCTGACAATAAGACAAAGACCAGGGCCAAGTTTTTAGCTGTAGCCCAGAACCTCCCCCCTCTATCTCCTGAGAGCATGCTGTGGGGGATGATGGGGTTGTTTTGCCCATTGCCTTCCCACTTCTGCTGGGATGTTACCATCAGTGTGGGAGATATTGGGTAACTCTCTGGCCCCAAGGCTAGTGAAGGCCTTTAAACTGCTAATTAATCAAGACCATTCACATTTACCCAAAGTCTCCTCACTATCCCCAGGACCTGTTGCAATCTCAGCACAACAGGGAGCCATCATCTTAGCGGATTTGCCCCCTTTTACATGGTGCATTACCAACCAGGTAATGTTCTGGACCTGAGTTTGAATCCTGCCACCACACATGTTAGAACTTGATTTCAATAAATAAATATAAAAATCTGGACTTAAAAGTCTAATGATGACCATGAATCCATTGATGATTTTCAGAAAAACCCGTCTAGTTCACGAATGTCCTTTTAGGGAAGGAAATCTGCCATCCTCACCTGGTCTGGCCTACATGTGACTCTGGACCTGCAACAAAGTGGTTGACTCTCAACTGTCCTCTGCGAAATTAATGATGGGCAAGGAATACTGGTGTAGCCAGTGACCTACATAAAAAAAGTCCCCCAAAAGATTTACCCTCTTTTCTTCCCACCTTCAATCGAACATAGGTAACAGAACAGCCTTTTCCCTCATGCCCATTGTCTACTGTCCAGAATATAACAGTGAAGGTGTATAGACCTTAGTATGGGCAGGTCAGTGGGCACCTGGCCTGCCTCCTGTGTTATGGGATTGGTACGGGTTGGACATAAAGGAAGTTGGATAGCCAGCTGATATATTTTACATGAACTCCTGCCAAAAACACACCAAACAGATGGCCAGAAAATCAAATCCCAGATCTTTCTGAGGAGAAATCATTAAAACAGGGTTATCATTGTAAACAGTGTCTGTTAGAGTGAAGGATCAAATTATTGTACCCATACCCCGTTCCTTCATTTTTGTTCTGCATACACTGATGGGGTGAAAATTCTCAAAATATTGCACAACATTCTCAAATGACACAGCTTCAGGGACAACTAAGCATTCATGGGTAAGGTAAACCAGGTCCAGTTAGGAACATTTGTAAACCTTCCACATCCCAGGGCAGCCTCCTTCTTATCAGTTTCCACATTTCTGGTTAGTGACCTTTTCTTAACATTCTGGTCCTAGGTCAAATACAAGGAGAAATACATCCAACAGTTGGGACTGTGGAGATCAATCCCTGATCCACCTGAGAACATACACCACCGTATGGTGACTGATGCCATCAGCACTGTGAGTCTTTAACTTTGTCCTCTTTTAGTTTGTACTTTTGTACAGAAATGCAGTACAAATACAGTTCCATTAAAATCTTAAATCTGTTGCTGTTGCTTACTGTTAAATATATAAACATGTAATGCTTTAAATGATAATCTAAATTTAAAACTGAGCAAGAAAGTGTATCCAACTTTTAGATATGCCTACACACAGGATGTCTCATTTAATTGGATACTATTTTTGACTTGCTGTCTAATAGACCCAGGGACTGTAAGTGACATTTTACAGATTCTTAATGCTGGAAGAAGATGAATTTGTCCTATAGGTTGTCATAATTAGACATGCTATTTTTGAATTTTTACCGTATAATCCATGCCATATCTCTTCTGTCCCTCCTTTCATGCTGATATCTTGCTGGTCTGTTAGATGTATAGGTACCTCATCTCTTTTTGGCACTGCAACCAAAAGACAATGGGATAGGCGATAGCCTGGTGGTATTATCGCTAGACTATTAATCCAAAAACCCAGATAATGTTCTGCCACCCTTGGTTCAAATTCTGCCAAGTAAATAGTGGAATTTGAATTCAATGAAAAAATCTAGGAAATCAGAATCTAATGATGACCATGAAACCATTGCCAATTGTCAGGTAAAACCCATTTAATTCACTAATATCCTTTGGGAAGGAAATCTGCAAAGCTGACCAGGCCTGGCCTACATGTGAATCCAGACCCACAGTAAAGCGGTTGACTTTTAACTGCCCTCTCGGCAATAGGGCTGGGTGATAAATGCTGGCCTAGTTGGTGATGCCCACATCCTCTGAATGAATTTAAAAAAAGACACATAGCCGTGTGTGAGCATGGACTTGCTTTTTGTCTGCCTGGGTCTCACGCCTGCATATACCCACCCATGTCCAGGAAATGAACGTTATTCCATCAAAGTCCACAGCCTCTCAAGAAGGGAGCAGTCGGATGACCCCTTAATTTTTTTTTTCTCTGGTCCTTTGCAATTCACTATTCTTTGTGTTCAGTATTTAAAGTACTGAAATTAACTATTTAAAAGTTCTTTTTGTAATTTTCAGAAAATGTGATTATTTCATCAAAGTGTAATTACATGCCCAAAATCAGACACCTGAAATAAAAATGATTATTTTCCAACTAGGTTAAGTACAAAGAAGACTTGGGATTGCTGAGAGGAATTGGTTGCTATGCATGGGACACTCCTGATTTAATGTTGGCAGGAAAGAACAAGGAGCTCTACAGCCAGGTAAGGATGAGCACCTTTGCTGTAAAACCTGACACGCTCATGTAAGTGAGTTAGTTACTTAACAGAACGAGACATCTCTTCATCTTTATTTAGGGCCACACATTTCAGCGTTTCCTGCTGTAGAAAAACTTGAAGTATATTTGTCAGTCTTCAGACTTATGCCTCCACACACTTATTGACCATTAGGGCTCCTTTATTTTTGGTAAGAATATTTTATTTCAACTTCACTTTCATTTTCTCTTCTCTACTGAAAGTGCCAATTCATGTTAATTTATCTAATTCCACAGATAGCTGTCTCACTCCAATTCCAATGTCATATGTTCTTGTGTAGAAAGCAACCTATTCAACTGTGGGATTATGACAGTTGAGTCTGATTCTGTCTTTACCCCATATTTTCTCATCTCACACACACATAGCTAGTTTAAGGGAATACAATTTAAACATAAGATGTAGATACGAATAGAAGGCTGAAAAGGTTAGATGGGGTGTGGTGCAAGGAAGGTCCTGTGGAACTTTGGTGACTTGGGTAATGGCCTATTTCTGTACTCTATTTGCTATTTAATTTCATCATGATTTTCTAACTTGGATCAAAGGCTTAAGGCTTGAAGGCAGAATCTCAAAGTAAGGAGTCACCCTTTTAAGTCAGATATAAGGAAGATTTTTTTTTCTCTGAAGGTAATGAATCTGAAGATTTTTTTTATCTCCGGGGGGTGTCAATGTTGGGATGTTAAGTAGATTCAAGCCCAAATTAGACATATATCTAATCATTAAATGAATCAAGGGTTATGGGGAAATGTCAGGAAAGTGGAGTTGAGGATTATCAGATCAACCATGATCTTGTTGAATGGCAGAGCAGATCTGAATGGCCAACTTCTGTTCCTGCAGCTTGTAAGCATTATGGTCTAAACAAATACTGCTTGTGAGCTCTGCAGACACTACAATCTCAGTGCACTGAGGTTTTAATACTGGCAAGCCTTTTCTGATTACCTCATAGCTTCCCCACCTCACAGCCAGTGAGCTTCCTACTTTCTCAGCTCTGTTGTTCTTCTTCTGAGCCCTGGCTATAACATTTATCTGCCTACCAGTTTCCAGAATATCTTCCCAAATTTCTAATAGCATGGAAACATCCAACTGCTCTCATCTTCTCACTGAGTGCCCTACACAGAATCTGTATAGTTCAGCTGCCTTTCCAGAAGTACTAACTGCAGCACTGTTAAGACAGAGTCTACATCACTCTATCCCCTGTCACATACTCACTTTCCTGACTGCTATATCCTTCTTCAACTAACTGTGAACCAGAACTTTTCTTCAATGACCAAAACTATTTGAGTGATCAATTGAAAACCTTGCAATAAGCCCCACTCCTATTTCTGGCTAGAAATGTCACATTTTGTAGGTTGCTATTTTCTGGGATCACGGATTACTTACGTAAAGAAGAATTTATCACACCACAGATGGTGCGTTATTCTCAAAAGATCTTTATTTTTCAATGGAATGTATCCTTTTTGAGAGTTATCAGATCACTCCTTAAGTGTCTGCCACTTCTTCTGTACCATTTAATCCATTAACCTGATTCACGCTAGCCACCTTAGTCTTCAGACCCCTGTAATTGCCTTTAATTATGTTAAAGACACTAGGTTAAGACTCACATTTCTAACCCTCAACCTGAACATGAAATTCTATCATGTTAACTAAAGGGAACCCTTGCCATGGGATCAACAATTCATTGTACATTACTAGTTTTAAAATTGTCTACTCTTTATTTGGTTTCAGAATGTAATATTCTATGATACTGTCCTAAATACTCACTATGAACTCATCAACCAGGCTACTTCTGCTTACATTTTTGATTCATCTAATCGATATGAAGGCTAAATCTCCCATAGTTATTGCAGTACATTTATTACAAGCCCCAATTATTTCTTGATCTATTCTCCATTCTACAGGGTTGTCTTATTTCAAACATTGCAGAAATTGACAACTGAGGGATCAGGAAAATGTGGAGTAACACTCTGAACATGCGCACATGTGTTAACTTACAACCACCATTTCACAAGTCAGGTCCTATGGTCTGGAGGAACACAGCAGGCCAGGCAGCATCAAAGGAGCAGGAAAGTTGATGTTTTGGGTCGGGATCATTCTTCAGAAATGAGGATGGGGGAGGGAGCTCAGAAATAAATAGAAAGAGGAGGGGTTGGCCTGGGGAAGGTAGATGGAATGTTGGTAGGTGAGTGCAGCTAGGCAGTGGTGGGGATTGGTTAGTGAGGTGGGAGGGGCAGTTAGGTGGGAGAGAAGATGGACAAGTTGTGTCAGGTCAAGGAGGCGGGGATGAGAGGGAGGGTTAGTCATGGGATGAGGCCGGATGAGACAAATGACAACACCTTCCGGTCGCGAACCGTTTTAACTCCCCTCCCACTCCCTGGGTGACCTGTCCATCCTGGGCCTCCTCCAGTGTCACAATGACGCCACCCGCAAACTGGAGGAGCAGCACCTCATAGTCTGCCTCGGGAGCCTGCAGCCCGATGGCCTAAACGTGCATTTTACCAGTTTCAAAATCTCCTTACCACGCCCGCCTCCCCCCCAACCCCGGCCTCATCTCATGTTCAACCCTCCATCTCATTCCCTCCTCCTTGACCTGACACAACCTGTCCATCTTCTCTCCCACCTATCTGCCACTCCCACCTCACTGACCAATCCCCACCACTCCCTTTCTGCACTCACCTATCACCATCACATCTGCCTTCCCCAGCCCCATCTCTCCTCTCTCTATGTATTTCTGAGCTCCCTTCCCCCTCCCCCATTTCTGAAGAAGGGTCTCGATCTGAAACGTCGACTTTCCTGCTCCTCTGATGCTGCTTGGCCTGCTGTGTTCCTCCAGCTCCACACTGTGTTATCTCTGACTCCAGCATCTGCAGTTCTTACTATCTCTGAGGTCCTAAGGTCTGTTTGGTTTGCAATGTGATATGATTAAACATGGTTAATAGTGGTCTAAGCTGCAGGTAGTGACACCATAAATTTAACAAACCCTTAAAAGGAGTACACTGTTCTATGATTCCAAACAATCAACTACTTACTGATTTATGAAACATATGCTAAAAAATAAAGTTGACATTTTGTTCTGTTTTCTGCTCTTAGAGAGGTTTCACTGTCTAGCTTACTTATCTGTAATATTTTCTCTTACAGTACAAGTACCGAGAATCAGTCGCCAAGCTAAGAAACAACTTCAAGTACACTGCAGATACTCCGCACATCCGGCACGCTAAGGCAGCAACGGCAATTTTAGATGAGGTTTGTGCAAATGGGACAGAGTTAATAAGGCCATATTTGTCTCTGTTACAAATATCCAACATGTGATGCTTGGGCCAGTTGGAGCCTTCAAGCCCTCGAAAGCCCAGACAATTCAGTCCTGTTCACATTGCATCCCTTACTTGTTAATGACTCCTATTTTGTATTCAGTGACTCTGAAGGGTTTGGAAGTGCTGGTTTTAGCACTGTCACCTGTATGGTGGACGAATCCTTTGTCATAGCGCCAAGATGTGTTTGTATCGGTAACTGGTTATGGGACCATGGGTTTCAACTTCATACACCACTCTCAAGGCTCTCTGGTACACACCTTCCAACATAAAACTTGGACATTCTTGATCTATATTTTTGTCCCAAAATACAAACACTAAATCTGTTAACAACATTATCTCTTTTTGAATTTGCTTTCAAGGATAAACAGAATAGAAAATGTTAATATTAGACTGAGTAAATTCTGTTACTGAATACCAACATTCATTTAATGTACTATTAATTTTTCTTTTTGGGTCTGGTGCTTTGTGGCAGCTTGAGACTTTCTTCAATGGTATAGAGCTTGAGCTCTTCACTGAAGTGTATTGTGTTAAAAAAAAGGTTTTTTTAAGCTTTCATAGATAAAATGAATCAAAATCCAAAGGGTAGGAAATAGCTTTTAGCTTTTACAGAGTCATTAATGATATTTATTTCCTTACCACACCTTTTTTCTTTGCAATTTTCTTAACTGTTACGTAGAGGACCCAAGAAATTGTTGTAAGGTAAAAACAGAGGTAAAAATATATATGACTTTCCATTTACCACAAGTATAAATAAATCTACTTCCTTAGCACCGTTGTTTCACTTTTAATTAAATCTCTTCTTCCCGAATGTTGAAACAGTTCTGTTCAAAAAACTGAAATGAATGATGGAATTATAACGTCTTTAATAATTAAGGGCAAAGATAAAATGTATCATTAGGCTGTAGATCTCCATGTAAGTAATTAAAATACACATTTTACAAGTTATCTGACCAAACACTACCTAAATGTTTTTTGACGGAAGCAAAAAGAATTTTAATATTCATCATTTGCTTTATCTGGCATACCAGGCAGTTCATTAATCGTTATGATCCTCACTTCCAACCTGCTTAAGACTAAAAACGACACAATTAAAATTCAAAAACACTCAAGTCTCAGCCAGAGAAAAAAACATGTTGATTATTTTTATGATTAGGAGTTCTATCATTACAATTAATCAGTTAAAGTAATATTTACTTCTATTCTATTTTGAGATATGTCTTTACAGCAACTCCTATGACTGCAAGCAAAATACTAATATATGCTCACTTTTGGAGGATCTGTTGCCAAGAATTTCAAAACATGGATATAGCCCTTTTTAAACTGCACAAGTGTCATTCTCTTTCTTTAGTTGCAATTGACTGGTAATCGGAAATGGGATCATTTGTCTTCAGGTGGCCAGTGTCAGATTTTCAGACAAGACTTAGAAGATTGAATCCTATGAGAAAATCTGACCGCAATGACTTGTCCTAGAGCCAGATATTGAAATATTTCATCCCCATGCACCAGTTAAATCAGTTAATTCCCCTCACCTCACACTCCCCTTACCAAAACATTGAAAAGAATGCATTGTTTTAACTAAATCTCATATTCTGAGCAGAAGTCATACAAAGCTTTCTATGAGAAGCAGAAGAGCAAGTATACCTTGGTTTTGGATGATCCTAGAAACCTTCTAGCCAAAAGGTCGGGGCGACTAAGTAGCCAGGTAATTCTATGGAGCTTGCACTAGAATGCTGGCCATCTACAAGAGAACCAGCAGTCATCTGCTGGTATGCTTTATGTGGATGTCATCTACCCAAATAAATGCTTTACTGGGTAGTGCTGTTGCAGCCTGTGTGAACCTTTTCACTGATACAGTGACTTGAGTTCGAGGATGATGAACACTGGTGTCTTTTTCTGGCTTGGCTTATGTTCCATCATCCTTTGCATGCATGTGCATTTTTATCGACAGCAATCATATAAGTCTGAAGCCAAATTCAAATTAAGGCGAGGATGCAATGAACTTCTACGGCCTGATATGCTGACTGCCATATCCAACTCAATCTTAGGGAGCCAGGTAAAATTGCCCGGTGATGTGCACTATTTTACCTCCTTTAGATTTTTTGGGTTGTCTCAAAGTAATGCATTGAAGACTCAACAGTAATCATTTAAAAAGTTCTTTTGGAAATAGATTAATCAGTATTTTGGTGAATTTCAGTTGCAAATCAAATTGGGATTAATTTCTAAAATGTTCCATACTAACTCAAGCACAAGTAATCTTGCTGTGTGTATTTGTGACACCATCCTGTCAATTTCTTTAAACATTTTCTGCATGTTTTTTGGTTGATATTCTGTTGATTTCATTCACCTCTTTTTAATGCTGGGCCAAATTTTGATGAAATGGGGCATCTTGCCTGACCTTCTTTGATGCACAATTTTAGCTTTGGGTTTTAAAATACTTTGCTTGCAAAACAGTTGGAAATACAAGTTGGTACTGCAAGGGCAATGGGGCATCTCAACCCCTGTTAACAAGTTTATCTGTTCGACCAATGGGATTTGAGCTTTGTGAAAGGGACAGAAAAATGCCACAGGAGAGTGAACTAGAGTGTATTACTTCAATGTCCACTTATTTTCTGGATCAGAAATAAAAGTCAAATTGCATTGTGTGAGCAAGAGGGAGAGAGACAGGGAGAAAAGAAGCAGAAAGGAGAAAGACGATTAAAAAATACATTTTGAAGCAATTCACAACCTAAAGAATTGAGACTCAATTTTATTCACTTACAGGGAAAGAAAAGTTGATGTCAATCATTAACTGTTATGAAATGAGAAAGTACTTCACTGCTAGTTGCAAACCTAATCTTTCTGTGACAAGTTTAATGGGCAATTAATGTGCAATTAGAGCAACTTCATAAATGTCAAGGGCAGGTTAAGGACAAGATGCAATTTTCACAAAGCTAATGACAGAAAGATGTAAATTGTAGGAAACTGCGTGGTGGTTGACATTTTTCAGGATATTTCTTCCTCATCACATATTGTTGCTGATTTGCTGATAATAAGTGTTCAGCAAGATCTAGTGGTGGCTGGTTAGCTCAGATGGTTAGATCATGGTGCTAATAATGCCCAAGAATCCAGCCTGAGTCTTTTCAGGCAATTGCTTATCTTTAAAGGGAGCTTTAAAGAGAATCTCTGGGCCAAAGGTACCAGCTGCAAGTTCCACCTGTCCTGGAATTCTTCCATGGCACGTCCAAACAAGTTGATGTGAGATACTCTTTCAGCAAGATCTGGCCCACTGGGTTTGCATCGATTGCTCTACATTAATTTTATGCTCGCTGTATACAGTGGATTTACAAAAAGAACTACGAAAAGGCGAAAGACAAATACACGTCCATTTTTGAGACTCCTGACAATATCCGAACTAAGAAGGTGACGAAGCTCATCAGTGATGTAAGTTAAGTTTTTAATGCAATGAATCTATATTTAAACGTACAATTAACTCTGTTTAAATAGTAGTTACCTTGATTGAGCGCAGAAGCAGTTATACCTATTATGCACATATGGAGTTGTTCAGATTGCTGATCTTTAGGTAGAGAGGGATAAATGCAACTATTATAATCAGCTTCATGTGGATATATCCAGAACTTTGTGTTTCTTTACCACTGCCTGGACAAAAACAGCAGATTTACAACTAGCCCCCAGATAAAGTTCCTTAATTTATTATAGATCCAGATAGGATACTCCAAGCTGTCAAGTTTCCTGATGAGAAGGGATGAATTAGTTCCCCTTCTTTGTTCACCTCCCCTTCAGTTGGCCACAACAAGATTAATTAAAAAGGATCCTTCCCTTGTTGATGCTTTTCTTACAGATAAAATGAATTTATGATTTAAACAGAGCTAATTAACCTGGCTTCCTTGAGTTAACAAAAGAATGAGTTTATTAATAATGAGATGAAATTATAACTCATGCACATACAGATTAGAAATGAGAAGTGAGTCCAAGAAAAGAGAAAAGTTAAACAATATATGAATCAGCCTCTAGTTGATGCGTGAAGAGTAAATAGTGTAATGATGATTGTTGAGTAGTCAATTTCAAGTTTCTTGGCTTTGCAGATTAGCTGAAATTCCTTTGTCCTGTTCCCTTTTGAACTGGATTGCTGGTTGGCACCCAACACTCAAGGGTGTTCCTTTACTTTATATGCAGAGGTGACCAGTGGATGATTGTTTGACAGTGACGTTCACAGTACGTTAGCACTTGACCCCAAGATGTTACACCTTAGTACCTCCCCCTACTAGAACCCACAGCCTAATAGTACGCCCAAGCAACTCAGCCCACTACCACACATAAGCATCTCATTCCACTAATACACACAGACCAGGATTGAAACCTACTTTTAACCTTTGCCTCTGTGTGCTCTTAAAAGGTGAAGATGCAAATATGCCTCTCCCCTAGGCTTTTCTCCCATCAAGTTCACACTCTGAGATACTTGTAGGAGATTACAGTTCTATTTGTACTGTATTTATTCATTTGAAGCATGTGTGACACCTTCAGGTGGAGACATTCCTGGGTTTCTGTCCAAAGAGTCATAAGTTTATATCCACAACCATCTTGTGGCTGTATCTTCTCTTTCAAAATCATGTTTATGATTAAAAGTTCAAAGTGTCCATAGCTAATCTGGGCTTATGATAATGGTCATGGAAACAGTCATAGAATTGTGCAGCACGGAACCACCCTTGGGTCCAACTCGTCTGCGCCAATCAGATGTCCTAAGCTGATCCAGTCCCATTTCCAGCATTTGGCCCATATCTTTCTAAACCCTTCCTATTCATGTATCCATCCAGTTTCCTTTTAAATGTTGTAATGTTACCCTCTTTCACCATTATCTCCTCTGGCAGCTCGATTCACACATACACCATCCTCTCCATGAAAATGTTACCCCTCAGGTCTCTTTTAAATCTTTCCCCTTTCACCTTAAACCTATGTCCTCTAATTTTGGACTCTTTGACCCTAGGAAAAAGATGTTGTCTATTCACCTGATCCATGCCCCTCATGATTTTATAAATCCCTATAAGGTCACCCCTCAGCTTCTGATGCTCCACCTAAAATAGCCCCAGCCTATTCAGCCTCTCCCTATAGCTCAAATCCTCCAACCCTGGCAACATCCTTACAAATCTTTTCTGAACCTTTTCAAGTTTAACATCTTTCCTATAGCAGGGAGACCAGAACTGAATGCAGTGTTCCAAAAGTGGCCTAACCAGTGTCCTGCACAGCTGTAACATGACATCCCAACTCCTATACTCAATGCACTGACTAACGAAGGCAAGTGTGCCAAATGCCTTCTTCACCACTCTGTCTACCAGCGACTCCACCTTCAAGGAACTGTGCACCTGCACTCCTAGGTGTCTTTGTCATATTTGCCTTTAAAACAATGGCTAGCATGATAGACCAAGACCTTTTAGTACTGTTGACTGAATCCATATTTTGCCAAAATTACAAATGGTTCCACATTTTCAGTTCTTGATCTGTTGCATGATTCCTAACTTCAAATTTTTGAACTCAATTAATTACAGTACAAAATAATCTTTAGATATTCATCATGACAATTACCTACATTAATTTTGGCAATAGGAAAATCTTCATGATATTTAATTGCACATCTATCAAATGGAGCAAAGTAAAGATGGATTTCATGTAATTCAGAGAAAACAACTTGCACAATAATTGCATTTTTATGAGAAAACCTTTTTTGTGTGTTTGCAGATTAAATATAAACTGGAGCATAACAGGGATAGAGCTAAGGGCTATACTTCTATCCATGACACACCAATGCTGTTACACATGCGAAGTGTGAAGGACAAAATTAGTGATGTAAGTATTCACCACACCCAGTAATAGAAATAACTTTGCCTTTTGCTTTAAAGCAATTTCAACGTTGCAATCTACTGCCAATACTGGAAGGGTGGAGGAGGATTGTGGGGAGAAATAGGTCAGAGTTGTGAAAGGCATGAACAGATGGGTAGTTTTCAGATATCAGTCCCTTGTTCATCATCTGCAGCTCCAATTGTCCCCAGATTGGAACAATTGGAGGTTGTTCTGACTTCACCTTAGTTCCCAGTTGGGAAACAAGTTATTTATCTTGCACGTTGGGAAGGCAAGTAACTGGGGAGACAGTGAATTAATCGGTCATTAATTGACCACTTAAGGGCCTTACTTGATGATGGATCTAGAGAGTCCCCAGTGGACCTTCTTACTAACTCACAGCTAAATTGCAGAAGGTGGTGTGAAGGAGGTGAATAACTTGCTAGGGCTAATTCGTTCAATTACTTCCCCTTCTTACCACCTCCAGGGTAGGGGAAATTCTGCTTTGTGTTTCGCCTCCCTAGAAATGTCAAGACAGTAAACTTCAGCATTCAGTTGCCAGTTAATTATACCATGGAAAAACTTGCATTGTACAGTTACACACTAAGGACATTTAGTTAAGTAACTCACAAGATGCACTAAAAAGGAAACTTTAGCTGATGGAAGGACTCTTACGTTATTGGCAGGCTTTCAATCATTGCCCTTTTGTTGACAGTTGAAATACAAAGAGAATTATGAACGCAACAAAGCTAATTGCAACATTCACGGTGATGCATTTTCGATCAGGGCTGCCAAGAGTGCATACAAGAACACAACCAATGTAAGTTTTTTTCAGCATGTTTTGGCCTGAAATAATTAAAGAAAAGACTAGTATTTACACAACATCTATCACAATCTCAGGATGCTCCAAAGTGCTTTATTATCAATCTAATTACTTTTGAAGTTTCAGTCACTGAGTATGCATCATGGTTGGGAAAAAGTAAGTCCCCCTAACGTATTTTTCACTGTTTCATATGAAAGCATGTCCTACGAAGGTATGTAAACTTTGCAAAGATTTCTCCATTTTCAAACAATGTGGGTTGGATTTAATGGAGCTTGTCATGTGGGGAAATATGGTGGCTGTGCTAGTTTGATTGAAGGAAAGGCCTCTCGCCAATCTCCTGAAAGCAGGAACACCTCCGTCACCCCAACCACCACCCCAACCAATAGGCTTTGAGGTGGAAAGGGCTGAGGAGGGATTCATGGCTGCTCTTGCAAGATGGGAAATAATGGTGGCTCAGGGGTTCAATGGCGCTACGTGGCTGTCTTCAGCAGTGGACAACCGCCCAGATAAACCTATCCCCGGAAGGTATACCTCACAATGAACCACTCTGTTCACTAACCAGCAGGTGAGACCTCCATCAGCTGACAATTCACAGCCATCCCAATGTTTGACAGTGATGTCGTTATAACTTATGAATACTTGTGTTGTTTAAGTGCTGGGGCAATATAGATATGCTCAAGCATTATTGCCTTGATACATAAGTTGAAGGAAATTGAAGTATCAAGGGCAATTTTTAACGTAACTCACTTGACATCAACTAAAGTAGAATGCTAGATTCACATTTGAAGCCTCCCTTCTATCACGTTGACCCTACCCCACCCCAACAGTACTGCTGTTCTCTGGCTTCACTGAAGCAAAAAAATGACCTAACATAAAACCAGCATCATACCTGATCCTAAGCATGATATAAGCTGAGGGAGCAGCACCCCATTTCCTCTTTAGGCACTTTACAGCCTTTTGGATTCAACATTGAATTCGGCTACTTCAGACCAAGAACTTTGTCCTCCATTTTGTTTCCCCTACCCCTACCTGTGTCTTTTATTCCCTTGCCCTCTAGCCATGTCCTTTCTGTTCAAATTGTTGCTCACTCCATCCCCCCACCTTTTTCTACAGTGTGAAATTGGTGGGTTAGGTAAAAGCTGCTCCAGTGTCATTGCTGCATCTTTAAGTGAAAAGGTATTTTTGTGCAGGTCTAAATAATCTACAAACTGCACAGATGCTGTTATGTCATGATCACAATGCTTCACACATCAGAAAGATTAAGAATGTGGCTTTGATGCTGGACCAGCTGTTAAAATAGATATTAAAGTAGATAATTATACCACTCACTTCAGTCACTTGCAGTAAAGACATACTGCTGCTTGGAGAAGTGTTTTGGAAGGTATTGACTTATCAGAGGATATATTTTCTGTGGTATGTATATCTTATCCTATTGTGTCTCACAGTTTCTACAGCACTTTCTTTTAAGATTTTCTGATATAGTTTCACAGAAAAATATGCTTGCTTCATTTTCAAGGTAGCATAGAACTGGGGTTTCCCTGCTAATCATTATCCACTGACCCTTGTGTAAAACTATCCGAGTGAGAGGTGTAGGAAGACTCTATCTGATTAGATCAGGATGCTCCTTGTTTATAAATATGCTGGCAGACGATTGGATGTTTGGATGAATACATCCCACCGTTTCAGTAACCCTAAAAACATGCTTCCTAATTGTTGTTTTCAACTATCGCCCAACATCAAACCAATACCCACTGTGTAGAAGCAAGAAGGAGCAGTCACTGGTACATATTATAACACCCCTGCCAGTGCCCATGAAGCTGTACCCCATTGCAAAAAAAGGAAGTTAATTTTAAGTCAGCTTTGTGAAAAAAGTAGTAATAATGCTGGACAAATTTTCAAAATTTGGGAATTAAGTTGAACCAGATAGCTCATTGAAACTTTTCATCAAAATTATCGTATTGTGACTTGCTTCTCTGGTTTTAATGATATTTCCATCACTTGATCTGTAGCTTGATTACAAGAAGAAGTATGAGGCCACCAAAGCCAAATGGATGTGGACTGCAGACAGACCTGACTTTGTACAGGCTTACAAGGCCTCACAGCAGCAGAGTGAGGTAAGAGGAACACTAAATTGCTGTGTGATAATGCAGATATCACAATTCTCTGTGCGCATTGTTATAGTGTACTTCTATACTATACAATCAATCCTTGTCAAACCAACCTCAAATTCATAAGCTACTATAAAGTTGAGTTGGACCCAGGTGAAAACTATGGCTAGTCAATAGCAGAGTTTGAATTTCAAATTGTGACAAGTTGTACCTGTAGGTAGATAGATACATCATATTAAATCATGGTAATATATAATACTGGTATCTCATTTTATACTCTTTATGTTACACCTGCTTAAACGCAGCAAAGCAGACTTTTTTTTCCCTTATTCTGTCATGGGATGTAGGTGTCACTGCAAAGGTCACCATTTGTTAAACATTCTTAATGGTACTTGAACTGAGTGACATGCAAGGCCATTTCAGAGGGAGGTGAAGTGTTGACCATATTCCTGTGGGTCTGGAGTCATATGTAAATCAGATTGGGTAAGGTTAGTGAATCATATGGGTCTTTATGAAAATGGATGGTAATTGTCATGGCCACAATGACTGCAATCAGCTTTGTATCCCAGTTTTATTAATTGACTTTGAGTTAAACAGCTGCTGTGAGAGATTTGAACCCATGTCCACAGAGTTGTGGCTTAGGCCTACTGAATTAGTAATGATATTTTCAATACACCATCCTCTCCTCTTTAGTTAGTAATATTACCATAGTTCCAGAGGACCATCGGGCCAATTTCTCATTGAACAGAGACAGCTGGTAGTGGGTTTAACCTGAGGGTCACAATACCTGAGGTGAGGGGTGAGGTTGAGAAGTTAGGACCTTCATGCTGACCACAGCTGGTGCAGGAATTGAACCTGCACTTTTGGTGTCACTCTACATCACAAAAGTAGCTAGTAATGCAGCACCGACAGGCAATTAATTTCTTGCTATCTGAGGTATGGTACTTGTATTTCTAAACATTTCTATTACTGAATATTCACTTTGTTCAATGATGTGTAAAATAGTTCAGTAAATGTACACATGATCCCCCAAAATAGAGCAAGTCACATAATCCTTCAGACTAGGCCTGGCCAATATTTTGCTGACCTAATTGCTGATAGAATCTGTAAAACAAGATGACTGAACTGATAACTGAAAGCTCAAAACTGAAAGAAATGAGCTAAAACAGGGAAAGAGAACCAACAAATATAATATTAATCTCAAAGAATTGGTTTGATGACTTGCAAACTGTTTATTTGCACATCTGGGTCACTGGGTAATAAAAGATCAAAGCCCACTTTATTTGCCTTTGTTATTCCATTAATCAATGATAGTGGAGTGGTGACTTGTCATGAAAATTAATTGCTATCAATAATTATAAAATAAATACCAAATTGTTAGATGGGATCAATGAAATAAAGGTGAAAGTAATGTTCAAATAGTTTGAATTGAAAGCTATAGGAGAGGAACATTTGATTGTTAAATTCAAACACCCTATTTTGAGTTACTGTAATACTGCATGATGCTGATGTTTACTTACTGTTACCAATTCAATCTCTTTCTGGTGTGTAATAGGTGGATTACAAATTGGACAGAGAAGATTTGAAAGGTTGCAAGATCTCAGTGCCTATCCATGGAGATAAGAACATGATACTAGCTGTAGAAAATACAGACTTGGCTAGTGGGGTAAGTACTAAGGTTTATAAATTTGGCACTTGGCCCTGTCATTATTGGAACCTGAGCACAATTCAGCCTTTACTGATAGGATTAAAATCTCTGTTCTGCTGACTATCACTATCAGGCATTTCTTTGTCAGGAAAATATGTGTTAACAGCGAAGTCAGACACTCCAGCATCTGCAGTTCCTACTATCTCTGATTCAATTTTAACCCCACTGCGAAGCCTCTTCTAAGGAGCCTCTCTGCTCCTATGATGCTGCTTGGCCTGCTGTGTTCATCCAGCCCTGCACCTTGTTGTCTCAGATTCTCCAGCATCTGCAGTTCCTACTATCTCAGACACTCCCTGTTCTCTTCCACTGATGTGCATTGTTGTAAATCTCAGCTGGGCATCTCTCATGAATAAGTCTGATGAGTCTGTGGCTATCTCAAAGCAGGATCTAATAGATATGAGTCTAAAACACAACATTGTTGTGATTTAACACAAATTAACATTTCACTCACAGATGAATGTAAAGATTGGGGTTAAAAACTTATGCATCAAAGATGATCAGCTGAGATTATCAACAAAGCATGTTAGTGGAAGAGAGCAGTGAGAGCTTGATTCTGTGTGCAACTCATCCATTCCTGACAAAGTAATGTTTCATGGTGATAATAAAATTGCCAAATTTGTGATCGCTTACCGTTCTGTCTCTCACATTTTACAAACCGAAATAAAGCACAATGAAGGAAAATCTTGGCATTTTCACTGTCTTTCATTCCTGATACATAAAGATCAGGAAAAGCAAGATCACAATTGGCATCAGTACAATGTACTCTGCTTAACACAGTTTAACTCATTGCTCTTGTATTGTTTCCAAAATTTGCCCATTTGATTTCCAATTACGAGTCAGGAATTCAAAGCAGCAAGGTTTTTATTTTCTGTGTTAGGTAGTGCCCATGCATTACTCTCCCCAACTCCAATCTGTTACACAGACAAATTTAGAAGAAGGATCTTTCTGCAAAACTTTGCAGAAAAAGCAAAATTTGCTAGGCTAGTGTTTTTTTTCATTGTCAGGCAAGATGTATGTTGGGGTGACTGTGTTTGTGGTGAGATGGAAGAGTTACTTTTTTAAGTGTAACAGAATATAAAGTAATGATTAAGAAAATCTTCAAAAATTCATTTGTAGAATTACATTTGGGGAATTCATACTGAAGTTTAGAGGAACAGTTAGCTCAGTTGGCTGGATTATTGGCTTGAAATGCAAAGGCAGTGCCAACAGCTTGGGTTCAATTCCCACACTGGCTTAGATTGTCATGAAGGAACATCCTTCTCAACCTTTCCGCTTGCCTGAGTTGTGGTGATCCTCAGATCAAACCACTACCAGTGTTTGCTTTTGAATGAGAGAGAGACCTATGATCCAGTAAAGCCATGAAGACTTTATCTTTACCTGAGTTTAACAGAAGAAAGAAGACATTTTCAGGGTTATGGCAGGAAAAGCAGGAGAGTATCACTTATCAGATAGTTCTTACAGACTTAACAGAGGTCTTTTTATTGCAAGATGCTAATCATTTTGTGCCATTCACAGATAAAATACAAGCTGAAGCACAAGAAAGAAAGAGGCATTTACCAAGCAGTTCCAGACACACCACAGATGCTCCATGCCAAATCTGTCGCTAACCTAATGTCTGAGGTACTGCTGTCATTTTCCATTAAGTGTTTGCAGCTGTTGAATTAACCAGTATTACAGAAATGTAGCTCTATAAAGCTCCTTATTATCTATTGATTCATTGACTATGTTACTGCTCATGGTGGTTTGGAAGTCAGGGGTCTAGGGCAGTAATTCAGAGTACGAGGCTAATGTTTTGGGATATGGGTTCAAATCCTACCCTAGTAGAATTTAAATTGAATTAATAAAAGCTGAAACTAAAAGCTAATTTCAGTAATAGTGACCATGAACCCGTTGTCGATTATTGAAAAACCCATGTGATTCACTGATGCCCATTAGGGCAGGAAATCAGCTGTCCTTACCTAGTCTATGATTAATGGCCTAGCAAGCTGCTCAGTTCATGGGTATTTCAGGATGGGCAGCAATGGTGACTTTGCCAACATCCCATCCCATGATTTAATTAAAAGTTGCAATTTCATGCACAATGTATGACTGGGAAGTTAAAACACTATCATTTGTAAATTAACATCCTATTTTAGGCCATGAGTTGCAATGCCTGTGCCTCTCCGATTACAATAGAGTGTACATGCTTAAGGTGATAAGTTACATTTTCTCATTCTGTGCTAGCTTAAAGTCTTAAGTTTAACTTATTGTAACATGTACGCATGTCACATCCTTCATGTCTGATGAGGACATGCTCTGTACTGATAATTCCTGTGGTATAATGAAATAAAATAATTCAGCTTGAGGGAAAAAGGCTATGAATGTACAGTTTCCTGCTCAATAGAAAAACACAATGTAAACGAAATAACCACTGTCAATTATTGCAAAAATCCATTTAGTTCATTCATGTCCTTGAGGGAAGGAAATCTACAATTCTTATCAGGTCTGGCCGACATATGTCTCCAGATCCACAGCAATGCAGTTGACTCTGAACAGCTGTCTGGGCAATCAGGGATGAGCAATAAATTTAGGCCTAGCCAGCAAAGTCACATCTTGCGAATGAATTTAAAAAAAAACAAATTTAGTAAATTCTGGTATTGCAATGTGATCAAAAAATGGAGGGATTGTTTATTATCTATTTGAGGCTTTGGAATGATTACCCTTATTTTCATGGACTGCAAGAAGTTCTTCAACAGATTCTGTTTCAACTATTCCTAAGTTACTCATTCATTCCTTCCTCATTCGGCTTTGCAGAAAAAGTACAAAGATGCTGTTAAGAAGGAGCTTCCCCATGCTGCTTACATGAAGTTGCCTGAGACCCGTGGGACTTCACACGTTAGAGAAGTGTCAAAGTTACTGAGTGGGGTGAGTATCCACGCATTATCATATTTTATGTGCGACGCTTGGACCATCAATTGTCGTTCTAATATGCAGCTGCACAAAATTGCCTTGGGGTCTTCTTGGGAAGTCTGTGATCCAGTTAAAATTAGGCAGAGAGATAGGTTTAGACCTAATTACCCCAATGACATCCTAATCAGAATTTTGTTCTTTTGCCGTGATCATCAGTGACTAGGCGTTACTCACCCATTACATACAAGTTGTGGATTTATTCACCTTCTCTCCTTGTCAGTTCCACTTCCACTTCTCAATATTCACACAAGCAAGTTAGTGTAGTGCTAGTCCTCTGGAAATGGAAGTTAGTGCTGGATGTGCCTGTATAGCAGGCAAGTGCCTCACTCTCCATTCTGTACCCATTGAAAAACCCCATCGCTGCCAATGTGTTCAATGGGCTTTGGTTCTCAGTCATTAAGAAGCCTTCAGTATCCCTCACTGGATTCTACAATGCTGCTGTGCTTTCCAAGCTTTGAAGTTTCCACATTTGGCACTGCGTATAGGATTTTCAGTTAATCATTAATTCATGAAAAGGTGCACGAGATGGTCAAGAGCTTTTCTTTTCCTTTTAAATTCCACTATTTCTTTTATACCACATATGAAACGATCACTGACTGTGATAAATGTCAAAAGTCCTAATCCCATCCCATACTTGTGCCAGTCATTCCTCTTTAACATAGAAGAAACATTTTAATAATATTAGTAGGCTCACTCACTCTGGTTTTCAAACCTCTTTGAAGGACATATGCCTTTCTGCACCTCATTCGCAATAATTATATCTCAAATAAAATTGAGGGCTTTAGAGGCAGAAAATGTGGATCATGTATCCAAGTAGGAGGTACAGCAGACTTGTATATGGTATGCTAGACCACTTCAGTTATACTGTAATTTGAAAGGGCCTCCCAACTGTATGCTACACTGAATGACTTAATTTATATTCCTAAATTTCAGTTTTATTCCTGGATGTATTATGGAGTTTAAAAAAAAATGTAATGAAGATTCATGGAGCATTATCTGATTATTAATATGAATTTCTTTGACTACAGAAACTGTACAAGGAGCAGTTTGAGAAAGATAAAGGCAAGTCCTCATATTCCATTATGATGGAGCCCCCAGATGTGAAACACGCAATGAATGTGGCCAAATGTCAGAGTAATGTAAGCATGCTAATCATTTTGCATCCTTTTCTCAGTTGCATGTGTTCTTAATCTTCCTATGGAATTCAAGGCTGGTCATTTTTTTTTTCCCATAAGCACCAGACTCCATTTTTACTGTTAACTAAAAGTTAGAACTGCTACAATGAGCAGAAAACAATCCGGCTCTGATTTTTCCAAAATTGACCAACTAGTGGTCAACTGGAACAGCTTAGATAGAAAATCATTAGCTATGTGCTCTTATGGTTTCAATAGATGTCATTATTAATTTTTCCCATCAGGACTATAGGTCCAAAAGGCCTTTTAAACAACTGGTTGAAGTCTCAAAGAACCGAATCAGGCCTTCTAATAACGTCACCTTAGCACTTGCCCCTTTCCATGGCTACCATTAACTGCCTTTATTCCTCACTCCCCTCTTCACCCAGCCCCCAACTTAGCTGGAAGGGAAATATGGATGATGCAGACATTTTTAAAGAAACTGGATCTTCCAAGTTGGGAAATTTCTTGTCTCAGTGGCAAAAATTTAGCCCACAATCTCTGCAACTCTTTTTACTTGAAAATAAATATTGTCCTCAGCAGCTGAACTTTGTGACTGGTTAGAGGTGTCATGAGACCCTGTGTAGAGTATCTTGTGAATGCAGTTGTAGCTAGACAGAGGGGGAGGTCCTCAAAGCTTGGCAGGAGAGCTAACTCCCATTCTGCTGCTTGGGGCCTACCTTCAGATAGCTTGACCTTCCCACCCACCTCCAGGGTCCTAGGGACCAACTAGACAATTTTGGTCAGCTAACAACAATAGACCTTCATCCTTTAGGCCTTTAACACACTCAGTTGGCTTTCTGCCATGTAAGGGCAGCTGCAAACACCCCATCCAACCTTCATGAAGATACCCCAGGAACAGAATGGAGCCAGCATGCCAGCCAGTAGCACAACCTCCTGTGATCTTTTGTGCTCTGTATTTTATTTGGGCTTACAAATTCAACCGTCATTACAGGAGCGGACCTCTCAGATATTTCTATTAGGCTATGTGAACCTACATGATGCACAGAACCAGTTAATAATCAGCTGCAGGTTCTTTTTAGGTCAATACTTTAGAGCCACTTGCCTTGTGTGTGGGGAGGACTAGGCCAGCTTGAAATGAAAGTAACTCCACCATCTTATCTTAGGTGAATGTCATAGCTGAGGTAGGAGGTGGGAAGTCAATTTGCCAGGAGGAAATTCATGCTGCTTGCAATCTTCAGAATTAGGTAATGATTTGAGACTGGTCATCCCATCCTCTTCCAGTTGATTCTGTTCAGGCCTTGTGATCCTTCCCTAATTCCCAAACTAATCTTTTCCACCATGATTTTGATCAGAATCTCTCGTGTCACTCTTGACCACTCAGCACCTGTTCCCTTATCGATCTCAACATATCTTTGCTCTCTCTCCACGTCACCACAACCTCCCTACTGCAAAGGACCATGATACATTGTCTACATTAAAGATACTATGTAATCCCAAGCTCGCCATACCTAAGTGGGAATAGAAGCTTTAAGGAATGAGCAATTTATTTAGAACATATTTCTCATATCAATCTTTAGTGAAGCCGTATGTCAGTGACAATAAAATATCCTCTGTCCTGCAGATTGATTACAAGAAAGATGCTAAATCCAAACTCGCTTACACATCTGTAGCAGATCGTCCAGATATTCTAAAAGCCACTGAAGCTGCCAAGTTAATAAGTGATGTGAGTATGTTTCATTCTTTTAAGCAGTACCCTACAAACTATTATCTAGGCTCAGGTACAGCCCATCACATGAGTTTTGTCTGTTTTTCTTTTCCAGATTGGATACAGGACGAAAGCACGTGAGGAAGCTAGTCGCGGTATAATCAGCCTTGGACGCCCAGACATTGAACTTGCCAAAGAGGTTTCCAAACTTACCAGCCAGGTAAAACAGATAAGGGATTGCATGTGAGAAGCTGAAGTAGATACCTGAATAACCTTAAAAAAACAGGATTGTGAGATTGTTTGAGACTCCAGACTGTATCAAACTGTATCGGTCCACACTGAGTCATATAAGATTGTAGCAAATATGTTAAACTCTATCATGTTGTGTTAGACTGTATCCAACGTTACATTATCATCGTGTCACAAACTACAAGAAAGGCTAAAATCAACCCAATAAAATTGTGAGAAAATGGTTAGGCTGAATGACCAGAGAGAGTCTTATGAATCATGCAAGATGCAACTATTCTAGAAGTTTCAATGTTTGTTCTTAAAAATTTCAATTGTGGTTTTAAATCAATAACTTCTTTCTTGCGTCCATTCTTACACGTTGATTTCTACCTCCTTCCTGCTTTTGTGTAACTGTTTATTTTACAGAGTGTTTGTTGTGATTTTGTGCATTTATCTTAAAGTTAATTTTGATGCTGTGTCGAGAGCACTGTTACTCTCAACTTGTCATGTTTCTTAGTGGTAGCACAATCAACGCTGTAAAGGCATGAGTCTCTTTCTTTTTCCAGAAAGGAGAAGGCTGATGAGTGTCCAAATGGGGGTGTTTAACATTATGACTTTTTTGATAGAGAATGCGTACTGAAGCAGGAAAGCAAAAGCAGAGCCAGTCAAAGTAAGATAGTCTGTAAGAAATCAAACAGAGAATTCAAAAGTAACTTATTTACCCAGAGTATGATGAGAGTATGTAATTCTCTACCACAGAGTGTAGTTGAGGCAAATAGTAATGATGTAATTCAGTGAATTAACAATTCTCTGAGAGAGGTTCAGCTTATGGACATTAATGGGAAGAACATAGAACATAGAACAGTACAGCACAGTACAGGCCCTTCGGCCCACGATGTTGTACCGACCTATTATCCTACTAAGATCAATCTACCCTGCAAACCCTACATTTCACTATCCTCCATGTGCCTATCCAAGAGTCGTTTAAAAGTATCTAAAGTATTTGACTCCACTACCACTGCCGGCAGCGCATTCCACACGCCCACCACTCTCTGTGTGAAGAACCTACCTCTGACATCTCCCCTGTACCTTCCTCCAATCACCTTAAAATTATGCCCCCTCGTAATAGTCAGTTCCACCCTGGGGAAAATGTCTCTGACTATCCACACTATCTATGCCTCTCATCATCTTGTAGGCCTCTATCATATCACCTCTCATCCTTCTTCATTCCAATGAAAAAAGCCCTAGCTCCCTCAACCTTTCCTCATAAGACCTGCCCTCCAGTCCAGGCAGCATCCTGGTAAATTTCCTCTGCAGCCTGCCTAAACATTCCACATCTTTCCTATAATGAGGCAACCAGAACTGAAGCATCAAAGAAGGTCAATGGAACATGAAACACTGGCATAGACAAGTTGGGCCAGTGGTCTGTGTTTGTGCTGTGTATTCTATGTAATTCTTTGTAGCCTGATAGCAAGTTTGGCCCTTCATGTCTGTACTGGCTCCCAAAAGAGCTACCCAGCTACTCCCATTCTCCATTCCTGTCTCCGTAGCCCTCTAAATTGCAGGATGTTCATGATTTAAAATGTCTTTCTCCCATAGAGGTAAATAATTTAAATGGGAAAGAAAATAATTAGTTTTCTTTAAAGACTAACTTAATAGTAAAGAAGGAATTTGATTTGTTTCTTTGAACATGAAGTCATTGCAATCAGGTTTATAGGCTGTAATTATAGAATTGTGTTTCCAGATATGATTTCTCCTTCTTTATACTGCATGTAACAATGTCATATTCTGGTTAAGTTTCAGACATACTTGCCCAGAAAACATTTTAATCTTTTCAGTTGAGTGGTGCTTTCTGTTTGATTTTAAACGCCTCTGTTAACCATACACAGTTGACGCTCGGTCTCAAGAAAAATAAATTCAAACTGATATTTTGGGCTTTCAACTGGTAAACCAATTGTCATTTCCTAAATGCCACCTCAAGGATCATTCTTCCGAATCCAACATTTATCATTCCTGGTCAGTTCACAAAGGCACTCAATCAAGTGCACAGAGATAACTATACACATTGTGACCTGAACTCCCCCTCCAACATCCCACAATTCATTTTCTCCCTACTTGGGCTTTCCCTCTGTCTTATGGTCTCTCTTTCTCTCTCTCTCTCTCTCTCAATGCCCTCTTAATAAAAGATACTCATTATTAATTTCCCATTCAAGTTGGCACTTTCCTTTCCCAAAATTGATAAAATTCCATCCTCCATCCCCATGGAACCTTATGTTCATTTTCCTCCCTTCCTCAGTTCAGATGCAGCACACTTTTATCACTGATTCATTAGGGGGCAGAAGAGGCCATTTGGCCCATTGTTGCAATGGCTTTCCAAATGAGCATTCTGATTTAGTGCCATCCACCTGACTTACCCCCAAACCATTGAACGTTATTATCACACAAATAATCATCCAATGCCCCCTTGAATGCTTCAATTAATTCTCTCTCCACCACACTTCCAAGCAATGCATTTATCATTCCTGTTCAGTTCAGAAAGGCACTCAATCAAGTGTACAGAAATCACTTTATGCCCATTGTGACCTGAACTCCTTCTCCTGACCCGAAAAGCTTGAAAAACCCAAAAGGTTTTCTCACATCACATCTGCTTCTTTTGCAAATCACTTTAAAATTGTGTCATACAACGATGCCACCCGAAGGCTGCAAGAAGAGCACCTCATATTTCGCTTGAGAACCCTGCAGCCCAATGGTCTCAATGTGGACTTCACAAATTTCAAAATCTCCACACCCCCAACCTCATCCCAAAATCAGCCCAGCTTGTCCCCGCCTCCTTGATCTGTCCATCTTTTCTTCCACCTATCCGCTCCTGCCACCCCCTGACTAAACCCCAACCCCACTTCTTATCTACTAGACTCACCCTGCCTCCTTGACCTGTCCATCTTCCCTTATCTGACCAACCCCCAGCCCAACACCCTACCTACACTCACCTTTACTGGCTGCATCCCTGCCTCCTTGACCTGTCCGTCTTCTCTCCACCTATCTGCTCCTTTATCCACCTTCCATCATCGCCTCCCCCCTCTCTATTTATTTTAGAGGCCCTTCCCCTCCCCCATTTCTGAAGAAGGGTCCAGATCCGAAACATCAGGTTTCCTTCTCCTCTGATGCTGCCTAGCCTTCTGTGTTCATCCAGCTCTAAACCTTGTTATCTCAGACTCCAGCATCGGCAGTTCCTACTATCTCATCTGATTCTTGATCCTTTTACAAATAAGATTTGTAAATAGAAGAGTTTCTCCCTATCCAGTCTCTCTAGACCTCTCGTGATTTTCAAAACTTTGTGCAGATCTCCTCTTAGCCTTCTTCTCTCCAAGAAGAACAGTCCCAACCTCCCCGTCTATCTTCATAACTCCGGGTTTTCATCCCTGGAAGAAATTTTGTAAAACTCTGCTGCAGTCTCTAATGCATTCAAATTGTTCCTGCAGTATGGCCCCCACAAATTTATTCCTGAAATACCCTAATATAGTATTTACACTGCGTGAACATTTACAATAGTATGAACATTCTTATCATTCGGTATCCCTTTAACATACAAATCTGCATAAACAAAGATAGAATTTATGGATTCTTTTCTTTGATTCAGCAAGGGTTCAAAACAACTTTGTGCCTTTTTTTTAAAGATTGCTTTTTTTAATTCTATACGTAATGTGATTTGGAATTAAGTGTTATCAAGTAAGGGACCGTCCCTTTTTATGTTCCAACATATTGTTCTGGGCCCCATTGAGTCTGGGCAGGGACACCCCCAGGCCTTTTGCCAGTTCCTTTGCTTCACCTTGAACCCCAGATCATCTACCAGAGGGGAGATTGTTTGAGGGCTGGGTAAGCTAATTAAAAGCCTGTTGAGGGTTGAAAATGAAGGTGAACTGTGATTTGACCTCGTCATGGATGTTCCAGGGAAAATCTGTACCCTGCATAGTGCCGTTATCTGATCTCCATTTGAGCCTAATGGTGAGTTTCGGAGCCCACAGGAAACATATTGCTCCTTTTTTTGTGATGTGGTGAGTTATCTATAAGCAGATCAAACATGAAAAACCAATTCACCTAGTTTTCAGGACAATTTTTTTCATTATAAAGCTATATATTTTAAAATCATGTATGCTGTATTAGAGAATTTGTCGAGAGAGTTTTTGGACACTTATTCTTCTGTGGCACATAAATGGATATACATTGGGTGACCAAAATTTGGTCAAAGAGGGAAGTTTTAGTAGCAATTTAAAGGGGGAAACAGGAGATCTAGAGAGGCAACAAGGCTTGGGGAGGGAATTCCAGAACTTAGAGGCCTAGGCAGCTAAAGATACAGCCAGCAATAGAGGAGTGATGGTCGCGTGCAAAAGGCCAAAATTAGAAAGATTTTTGCAGAAATCCTCTGCAACGATTGGAGAGCCAGAGCTTGTTTCTGAGACAGGGAGGGATGAGGACATGGAAGAATGTGCAAACAAGGATGACAACTTCAAATTCAAGTTGTGGTTGAATAGGGAGCCAATATAGGTTAGAAGCACAATGGTCACAGGTGATTAGGCAAAAACTTTGTTTTCACAGAAAAAAATCACTTATAAGGTACCCCATGGCTTCAAGGTCAAATGTGAAATGTTGGGTTAAGCCATGAAAAAAAGTCATGAAGCATCATAAATTTTTCCCTGCAGCTTCAGTTTTATATTATAGTAACATTTTAGAGGGAAACATGACCATATAGTGCAAACTTTCCAAAGAGAATCAATTAGATACCTGTAAAGAAATAAACTTCTCGTGCTCCAGGGATAGGGCGGGAGTGTAGCATTAATTTAGAAAGCTCTTACAATGAATGAGGACAGCTAGGATGACTCTTTCTGTGATATAAAGCTCTGTGAACTGCTTAAAGTGACGTAGCCATGGCCCAAGATATTATTTCTTTATATGGGCCATGTAGTCAATCTAGTTTTCTTGGGTTCAGTTTTGTGACATCACATCACCTCTAACATATTCACCAGATGTTGCTGTACAAGTTCTCCAGCTGTCTTGAGGAAATTACCACAGTTACCTCTATGTATGAGAGTGAGTTAATGTACATTAAAAATGGGCTCCACCAGTGCTTCAAGAAAGTACACATTTCATTTCATAGCACAGTATGTTATACTGCATAATTCAACCTGGTATTTGAGATGATCCATTCTTTCAGCACCAAGATGCAAGTTTAGATAAACACACACTTAAACACTTATTATACGCTATGCAGTTAGTGTATCAATCACCCATCATCACCATTTTTGAGCTAATAAATGCACGTTTAAGGAAATACTGGCATGAGGCTTCAATATTTAGAGATAATCTCTACCTTATGAGTTGGCACATGTGATCAAGTAGGTGGTAGATGTATGCTGCCAAGAAGTTGCACAGGAGTTTAAGACGTCGACAGACAGCATGGTGAGCAATGGACAGAAGTTAGCCTTTCCCACCAACATGGACAGTTCACAAAATTTTATTTCAGTGTATAAGTGAGTCCCATTTATGGAAGGATTTTTTGAAGCTTCAATGTTGATTTATACATAGCAATCTCCGGTATGTGATGATAACCAAAATCCATTATATTTGAGAATTGTATATCATCTATCATTACATGGCAGAACTGAGCTGTATCCTGCTTCTAACTAGTTATTTACTGACTGGTGTGTAATACAAATCTGCTGCTGTCCATGTATTAATTTATTGTTCCAAAATCTCTATCTCATTCTTGCAATTCCATCCAGGCTACCCATTAATTACTAATTAATGCTGCTCTGATCATACCATCTTGCTACGCTTCATAGGTGGAATATACCAAACAGAAACTCAGAGGTCATGGAGCTGCTTCATATGACACTCCCACGATGAGGGTTGCAAAGAAAGCAAACATCCTCTCAAGCAACGTAAGACAAACATATGTATCAGAAATCCCTGTATAGTGTATCTATCTGCATTTTATATTCTGCTCCTGCCCTTTGTGCAAATTATCTTTTTGTTGTCAGGGGGAGCGAGTGTGCCTCCCAATGTAAATGGTACTCTAACACCAGTTATATTAACACAATGAATTCAATCCAATCAAATAGTAAAATGAGACAAATAGGAACTGTCCTAGACCAAGCCATCATGCCTGGATTGTTTTGCATTAATGTTTTTTGGCACATTTCTCCCGATAGGATTCCATACTTACAATTCAGACTTCCATTTTTTCCAGTGTCCACCAAAGTGAAAACAGAAGCTTAAGGTTCGGCAATTTCCATGTTTGAGCTGGGGTTACAAGAATGTGTCTCAGTATTGTCTCCTCCAAATTATCTGTCACCCAAGAGCATTTTTTGATTCTTCAAGAACAGTCAAAAAGTCAGAGCCTCCTTGAGCCCCAGAGCTGTCAGTAAAGCTAATCCATTTCTCATTATTTCTTCAGCTTTCTTCTTTTTATTGTTTCATTTTGCTTCACCCCATGATGATACTTGAATAATAAGCTTTTTCTTAAAGTTCTGTGCTTAGAAAGGTTGTGCGTATGCATCTACGACACTGGAATTCTTCTCTTTGAACTTTTGACTTTGTCCATTTTCTTTGATAAGAGAGAAGAAAATTTCTACCCAAGTGCATCTGTATTTTTCTTCTGTTTGATTATCTTTTACTCTTGAAATTTTACATACATTTTTGTAGGAATTCGGGATTTTGAAATGATGAACCTTGCCACCTGTTTTCCAGGCCTGATATTTGGATGTGGAAGTGGACAGTCTAACAGTTTCACTTTTTAAGATTTAATCTGCGTACATATTAATATTTCAAAGAAAGTGTTAAATATAAACAAATTGGCATAATATGAGTGTGAAATTAATTCAGGTCTGTGAACAACTGTTATTTCTATACGTGTCGAGCTGCTTCCAGGATCTACTAAGTGAAACATCCCTATTATCAGTATTTTTTTTCTTTTTTGATTGTCCATTTGTAACACATTGCCAACTATTTTTTTGGCTCTTCACTCATTGTCATTCCTGTTATATACCACCTCCCCAACCTACATCTGCATATGTCTGTTATCTGTTACCAGGCAATTGCGTTCCCATATCCTTGACATTGTTGATTTTTAAGATAGTTTTCATCATCCTCCCATCCTCTTAATCAATGAGATTTGTCCAGACTGTTCAACTGATTTGTTTACTGTTTCTTTATTGTGTTGCATTACAGACCCGATCATATCCACGTTGGGGATAATTAAATAACATTGATTTTAATTCATGCACAGATTAAGTACAAAGAGAAGTTCGAGAAAGAGTTTAAGGGACAGAGGCCGAAGTTTGATTTGAAGGAAAGCTCAGGATACAAGTCAATGAAGGATGCAAACATTTTTGCTAGTGAAGTGAGTATCAAGACACTTCCTACTATAATAACTAAACTGTTTTCGAGGTTGGTTAAAGATGCCGGTATTTCTAGGCAGAAAATAAATCCTGTATAATTGGATAATAATTGGGTAATAACCAACAATCAGTGAGTTTCTGAAATTTAAAAGGCATTATTTCCATTGCATATTCACCCAGATATATTTTGGCATTTAATTTTTTTAAAAAAATTATATGGTCTGGAAATGCAATGATTGGCAGACTGGTGAATACCCAAAACATGGTGGGGACTTCATTGCACCAATCTTCAGTGTCTGGAGGTTTCTGACATTTCCAGCATGGTACAAACCAACCATCTGTCCATCCATCCATCCATCCATCCATCTATCCATCCTGGATGTGGAGTAGAACTTCTCCACACCAGCATTGTCCATTACGTGGTTGGTTTAGGACACAGTGTCCATTAGGAAATTGAAATGTTGCATGATTTTAGGGTAACACAGCTTCAAGAAAATTAAAAATGTGCCTGAATTGCACCAGACCCTATTTTACATGGGCAGGAGATGGGGATCGGGTTGAAGAGGACATCATGACTGAGGAAGCGTCTCAGCAATTTACATTACCGGGTGGGCAGCAGCCATAGTAGCACATTTTTTTTCCTCCTTCAGTTTAGGTGACCTTCAGCTCACCTGCAGACCCCAGCAGGATTGATGTTGAGGAACAAGAGGTGGTGGCAATCCCAAAACAACTAACTGGCTTATATTCTTCAGAACTTCCATGACTGAATGTGAGCAAACATGATTTCAAAATTCTAGTTATCTCTTCTTCTACATGACCCAATGTTCTGTCCCACTCAAAAACCAACCAGGTGGGCTTTGAAGACTTACAATGGTTTGAAAGGGAAAGGGAGATTGACTAGAACAGACAGGACAGTGGATTTTGGGCCACGTCAGAGCAACCATGAACCTATTGACAGGCAATGCAGGTATCTGCTGTTATCTCTAATCTTAACAACAGCCCCTTCTCCCAATGGCCCACATGACCCAAAATCTGTAAGAGGGTCAAAGCACCTAAGGCAGGAAATAATGGAATATAACATCAATGTTTAATCTTTCAGCATAAATTTATTGAAGATGAAGTCTGGAGAACTGCATAGTGAAATGCCATGGAGAACAAGAGAAATTTGAATTGAATCTCGTCAGTGTTGCCCTGCAGGTTAAATTCTGCAGCTAAAATACTTTGATACCAGTCAGGAGAATAATAGTGTCACTTTTTTACTTCATATTCCAGGTTATATACAAGCAGGATCTGAAGAAGATGCACAAACCTGTAACAGATATGTCTGAATCCTTACAAATGCAGCATAATCTTTCCACTAGCAAGCTATCAAGTCAAGTAAGCAACTAACAAACCCATGTCTACTTTCATAACATGTCCTGTCTCACTATAATCTGAATGAGTTAAGGATTAACACTTTTCTTTTTCGCATCACTGAGGGGATATCCCGGTTGTGACCTACTTATCTCTTACTGTAGTTGTTCTCATCAGCCTCAATAACCATTTTGAACATTCTGTGTCACATTTTTTTCTAATTAAAACCTTTTGCATTTTTATCAAGTTACTAATTAGCCACTTCACTGGAAATGTGCTCATTTTCATCTTGCCTTAAGACTTTTTTTTAACACTAACAAATGACTTTTTTTTTAAAATCCATTTCATTGTTATATACTTCTTCAGGAAATGAATGAAATCCCTTTTCATGTGCGTGAAAATTAACATTTTCAGATGATTGGACATTTATGTTTTTGTAATAGAAAGCACACATTGACTGAAGCCAAAATGGCACAATGCCTGTTGGTGGGCCAACCATTAACAAATGTTTCCCATGAATCAGACTTTAAGAGATGCTCAAGAAATTTACAGGCTATATAGATTTTTCATTGACCATCATGTGATCATCCAACCAGGTGATGCTGGGTAATTAAATATCATTTGAGGAGGAAAGAAATCAATATTGGTGCTCCTAATATCTCAATGCAGTACTTAATATCAGTTTATCGTAGAATAATTCAACAACCACAAAGTCTTGCATTTTTATAGTGCCTTTAACATAGTAAAATAATTCAAGATGCTTCATTGGAACATCATCAAACAAAATGCAAGGATATGATAACAGGACATTTTCAAAAGTACCAATGGTATAATACAAAGTCAACAAACATATACCAATGCTTTGGATGTGGAAGTTAAATGTAACCTTTCCAAGTTTCTAATGACACAAAACTGAGTGGGAGTGTAAGTGATGAGCAGGATGAAAAGAGACTTCTGTGTGATTTAGACAAGTTGAGTGAGTGAGTAAATGCATGGCAGATGCAATATAACATGGCAAAATAAGAAGCTGTCCATTTAATGTGGTGTCAGTAATGGTGTACTTGATAGCACTGTTACCTCTGGGACAGAAATTGTGTATTCAAGTCCCATTCCCAAGACACAAACATTGCATCTAATACTCCTGTGCAGGCTGAAAGTGGGTTACAGTGTCAGAGATAGCTGTAAATTGGGAGAGGGGAATGTGTAGTGGGACCTGGATGTCCTTGTGCAATGGTTGCTAAAGGTATGCAGGTGCAGCAGGCGGTAAAGAAGGCAAATAGTATGTTGGCCGTCATTGTGAGAGGTTTTGAGTACAGGAGCAGGGATGTGTTGTTGCAGTTATACAGGGCCTTGGTGAGACCACACCTGGAATATTGTGCGCAATTTTAGTTCCCTTTTCTGAGGAAGGATGCTCTTGCTCTCAAGGGATTGCAGCGAAGGTTTACTAGGCTCATTCCGGGGATGGTGGGCCTGACGAATGAGGAGAGGTTGTCTAGGTTGGAATTGTTTTCACTTGAGCTCAGACGAATGAGGGAGGGGATCTCATAGAGACTTATAAAATTCTAACAGGACTGGACAGGGTAGATGCAGGGAGGATGTTCCTGATGGTGGGTGTGTCCAGAACTAGGTGTCACAGTATAAGGATTTGGGGTATACGATTCAGGATGGAGATGAGGGCACATTTCTTCACACAAAGAGTGGCGAGCCTGTGGAATTCATTACCACTGGAAGTAGTTAATGCCAAAACATTGAATGTATTCAAGAGGCGGCTAGATACAGCACTTGGGGTGAATGGGATCAAAGGTTAGGGGGAGAAAGTAAGATTAAGCTATTGAGTTGGACGATCCCAGCCATGATTGTGAAGAATGGCGAAATGGGCTTGAAGGGCCGAATGGTCGCCTGCTGCTCCTAACTTCTGTGTTTCTATGTTTCTAATCTGTTGAATGAGATGTTAAAACAGAGTCCTTTTTACTCTCTCAGGAGGATGTAAAAGATCCTGTTGCACTATTTTGAAGCACAACAAGCAATTTATCTCTGGAGTCTTGAATAATTTTTATTCCTCAATCAACAATACATAAACAGATTACCTGCTTATTATCACATTGCTGTTTGTGGAAGCTTGCTGTGTGCAAATTGACTGCTACATTTCCCACATTACAACATGAACTATCTTTTTATTCATTCTTGAGATGTGACACTGAAGGAGCAATGATATAGTTCCAAGTCAGAATGATTTGTGGCTTGGAGGGATATTCTCAGGTTGTGGTGTTCTCACATATCTGCTGCCCTTGTCCTTACAAGTGTTGGAAGTTGTGGATTTGAGAGAGTAAGTACTTCAAAAGTACATAATTGGCTGCAAAAACTCTTTGGGGCATCCTGAATCATGTAAAGCACTCAATAAATGCAAGTCTTTTTTTTTCGCTTTTAAGGAAACTCCATAAGATTTTCCTACTATAGCTATTTAAAGAGTCCTCTCAGATTGAAACATTTCCTCATCTTCTTCAAATATCTTTAACAGACACAAGTATGTAAAATGGAAGTGTAATCATTGGGAACTTGTCCATTAAATGTTTTTTTTTCCACAACAGAAATGTTTTTCTGACTACTTTCAAACATTATTTTTGCTTTTTGTACAATATCAGGTTTTGTAATTATTATTTTATTTTTAAAACCTCTTCTTTAATAGCTCTGTATAAATCATTATAGTTAACAACAAAGGGTAATCTATTCAAATGAAACCAGCTTGTTAATGGTTGCTTTATTAGCCCTTCCATGTAAATGGCATTTCTCAATAACTACTTCTATTTTCACTTAGAAACGTTCATAACATTGTGTATAATTCCACAAGCCATAATCCATCACCCATAGCCCATCTTTTTTTGATTGGATTTCTTTATTGCTTTTCACATTTTATTGTTTAATGGAATATTTTTTGTGAGCACCTTTTTGTAGATGGGTCACACTATTCAGACTCTGTAGTCTCTGTTATTGAGGTGGTTTTTGACCCTCCCATAGTACCAGTACAAGAAGGAGTTTGAGAAGAGTAAGGGTCACTATCAATTGGTTTCCGATTCACCCGAACAAATTCATCTAAAGGAAGCAACTGAGTTACAAAGCCAAGTAAGTCAGCTGAGGAAAAATAAATGAATGTTCATGTGCATATATGACTTTAACTTTGTCTCTGGGGTTCAAACTCATCCAGTACTAATATGCAGCAAGTTCTCCAATTTGCTAAAACATGACCTGTTGCAATGCTCCAATATGAACCAAGAAGAAGAGTTTTTCTGTAGCCTGTATTTTAAAATGGTAAAACTAAAATTAAGGTCAAAAGGCCATTATTTTTGTTGAACCTGTGAGTATAACATAATCGCTCTTTCTTACTGTTTCTTTAAATTGTGGCTTCATCCCCCACTTCCATTTTTACTTCGTTCCTTTGTGCCATTAAAAGCTCCCTAGCCAAAGTACAATGAGCTGAAGCAATTGTCAGACAGTGTTTCATGTCATTTTACTTTGGCTTTACCTTCCTTATTCTAAGAAGATTTCCAGCTTCCATTTGACACCACTTCCAGGTAGCTTGGCTGAAATGGATAAATCACCACATGGACCAATGCAGTGATTCCAAAAATTGCTATTTGAAGTTACAGATTGATAGGGGACTATAGGATTATAATATCATACTGTCAATGGAAGTGGTAGTTTTAACACAAAATTATAATCTGGGCAGTTCCAACCAACATTTCAGCTCTTTTCTGTTCATTTGTACAACAGGAAACATTGAGAACATAGTGAGGGTTGATTTGCAAAAAAATTCTATTATTAGAAATGTCATATTCTACAATTAAAAATAATTTCAATTATTTAATGTTATTTAAGCATTTAGTTCATTTTCAAAATATTGGAGCATTTCATTCTGTTTTTATGAACACATGGCTTTTTTTTTACCAACTATTGAGTTCATATTTCATGAAGCACATTCTCTTCCAAAGGATAAATCTGTCCTTCTTAATGTTTGTGTTTGGGAGTAGTGGAAAAAGACAGAATGCTTTTACAAACTCTTGAAACAGAGTATGACGTAAATTTTGGACTACAATTGCAACATGTAAAGCTTAATCTGTTATGAAAAGTAATCATGTTATACATTTCAGGTAAAATACAAGGAACAGTACGAGAAAGAAAGAGGCAAGGCAATGCTCGACTTTGAAACACCTGTTTATATTACTGCTGTGGAAACTCAGCACATGCAGAGTGAGGTAAGGTCAAGGAATAACTCCATAAGGGCAATGCTGTTAGTTGTATTATTGAATAGTGTCTGGTTTTGAAGAGAATAGGATTTCTGAAATCCTGTGTTTGGGTTCTTCAAGCAATTCATGTCACCTTGGAAAATGTCATGTTTGTTTGGAGATAAAAAGGAAACTTATACAAGTTGTGCCAGACTTGTATTGAGTTGTATAACTGTGCTGTCACTCTGGTGAATGTTAAAAGTGATTTTCCTCTCAAAATATCTCAGCTGCTCTTCAGCTATCTTAATCCCCTGCTCTTCCTGCACTGGGACACAATTAAACATTGTCCAGCTAGGTTATTGCAAAACGTTGGGTTTAGCATTTTCACAGTCTTTCAGTTAGTCAGCAAGCAGCTAAGTTGCTATGACATGCTGTAGATAACAATGTGTTCCTTCCCTAATATCCAACACTATCTGCAATCTACTAAAGATTGCAATAATTGAAGTCAGACCTCTTCCTGCCACACCTAATTGTGGCTTGGATCTCTCAGTGGTCCTGTGCCTCAGGTTGGTGTTGCACCAGCAATTTCCATCATCCTCTCTTGGCAATGCCATTCAGTGAAGCAGCCTGCCTCCCCTCTCAAACACCTGACTAACACAATGAGGGAGTCTTCCCAATAAAGAGGTGATGTGGACTTCTTCACAGCCGAGATCCTTGTTATCTCAACAAGATTCCACCCAGCGTTTATGAATTCAATCCCTATTGAAATCAATATTAACAAAATTTGTCCATGTTCTTTTTTGTTACATTACCTTTCAGTTCACTAATCAATAATTTTCAACCATAAGACTTAGGATCAGAAGTAGCCATTCAGCCCATCTGCTTTGCCCTGCCATTCAATGGAATCATGGCTGATCTGATCATTCTTAACTGCACTTTCCTCCCTTTTCCCCATAACCCTGATTCCCTTACTGATTAAAACTCTGTCTATCTCACGTTTGAATATACATAACAACCCAAAGTTGACAGCTACCGATTTCAGATTTACTATCTTCTCAGAGAAGAAATTCCTCCTTCTCTCTGCATTAAATGTGTAACTCCTTATTCTGAGATTATACCCTTTTGGTCCTAGACTCTACAGAAAACAGTCCTCCATACCTGGTATCAGCCTAGTGAACCTTCTCTGGACTACCTCTAATGTCAATATATCTTAGATTGATATGTGCAAAACTGTTCACAGTATTCCAGGTGTGGTCTGACTTGTACCTTGTATAGTTTTGGCAAAGACTCCCACTTTTATAATCCATTCCTTTTGAAATAAAGGCCAACATTCTTCCCTATTACCTGCTGGATGCCAGCTTTTTGTGATTCATATACAAGGGCTCCCAAATTGCTCTCTTCTGTAGCTTTCTGCACTCTTTCTCCATTTAACTAAAATTCAGCTGCCAAAGAGCATAACCTCATTGGTGTATAACCAACTTTGTTATTTCTGTAAAAATGATCATCTCATAAAAATGACCATCTCTGCCAAGAATTTCTATAAGGATTGTCAATGGTCTGTTATATACACGTTGACCACTTTCCTATTTATTTTGCTTCAAATTTCTTGTCTACTTTATTTCTTATTTCTATCACCAATAGAAAGAATATAAGAAGGATTTGGAAGAGCACATAAAAGGCAGGAACCTTTCTGGTTTGGAGATTACACCCGCAATGTTGCATGTCAAATATGCAACTAAAATAGGCTGTGAGGTATGCAGTCTATTTCTTTGTTTATAATGATTTGAAAAGTAATTATTGCTGTGTGTTGAAACATGCAAAGTGTGCATTAATTGTGCAAAATTATGTTTTCACTAATCATGATTTTTGCATATTTTCAAGCATTTTGTTTGCAATTTGTAGAATAATTTAGTTATTCATTGGTTTATACTTTTTTTTTGCTGGTGCTACTGTCAGTATTTGGCAATTATGCATCAAGCTCATTCAGACTGTTGTCATATTCATTTTTTTCATAACTGTAATGTAAGGAAACCTGCAATTCGGTCAACTAATCATGCTTGAAGTGTTTTATCCATCTTAACACAATGAAAGACGTGTGTGTCATTCTGCCATCTATTGGCTGGAGTTTTTCTTATTGGCAAGTGCCATTGTAAGGGGCAAAGATGTCATGTAGTCAGTATTCCTGTAGCTCTCCTTTTCATTTCTTTAGAAAGAATACAGGAAGGATCTTGAAGAAGGCGTGAAGGGTAAGGGCTTAATGGTGGTTGACGAGACTCCTGAGATGATGCGAGCAAGGAATGCCACGTACATTCTCAACGAGGTAAATATGACCCAGTGTCACCAATGTAAGCCCTGTGTTTAAGATAATGAAATATTACATTCTATCTAGTTGTGAAAATATTGTAGGCCACACTTTCCTATTGTAGCAGATAAGTCAAAGTTGTCATAATGGCAGAGGGCCATAGGGTGACTCTCTCATTAGAGGTGGTTGTTTCCCTGAAGGTCGCCATGGCTTAGGTGAGGGGTGGGATTAAGAAGGTGGGACCTAATGGTGACCTCAGCTAGTATGGGAATTGAACTTGCACTGTTGGCATCACCGTGTACCACAAACCATCCATCGAGCCAACTAAACTAACCCTTAACTCCTACACCTTTATTTTGCCTATTGGAAAGTTGACCACTGCAGAAAACATTAGTAGAGATGTCAGAATGGCCTAGTATGACTGAACTAACTAAATGCATAATCATATCATTTATATCTACAAATGCTTATATTCTGTTTGTTTACATAATATGGAAACGTATATTGGAATTGACCAGGAAGTATAATGTTTGAATTTTTTTCTGCCCCATAGCCTAGAAATGTTGAAGCCAATTGTAGTGGCAGCTCTGCTGCTAGCAGTAATTCAAAGATAGTAGGAATTGCAGATGCTGGAGAATCTGCGATACCAAAGTATAGAGCTGGATGAACACAGCAGGCCAAGCAGCATCAGAGGAGCAGGAAAGCTGACATTTCATGCCTAGACCCTTCTTCAGAAATGGGGAGGGGAAGGGGGTTCTGAAATAAATAGGGAGAGAGGGGGAGGCGGATGGGAGGAGGGAGGGAGGGATGAGGAGGGAGGGAGGGAGGGATGAGGAGGGATCTTCTCCTCTATCCATCTTCTATCCGCCAAAAAACTAGAATACACCTCCTCCCACCCATCTTCCTGCAAAAATGCCATCCCCTATTCCCAATTCCTTCGCCTCCGCTGCATCTGCTCCCAGGATGAGGCATTCCACTCCCGTATATCTCAGATGTCCTCGTTTTCAAGGACCGCAACGTCCCACGCTCAGTGGTCAAGAACGCCCTCGACCATGCCTCCCGCATTTCCGGCAACTCATCCCTCACACCCCCTCCCCGCAATAACAACCAAAACAGAATTCCCCTCGTCCTCACGTACCACCCCACCAACCTCCGGATCCAACTCACCATCCTCCAACACTTCTGCCATCTGCAATCCGACCCCACCACCAAAGACATTTTTCCCTCCCCACCCTTACCTGCCTTCTGGAGGGACCACTCTCTCCGGGACTCCCTTGTCCACTCCACACTCCCCTCCAGCCCCACCTCACCGGGCACTTTTCCCTGCAACCGCAGGAAGTGCTACACCTGCCCCTACACCTCCCCCCTCACCCCCATCCCAGGCCCCAAGAAGACTATCCACATCAAGCAGATGTTCACCTGTACATCTGCTAATGTGGTATACTGTATCTGCTGTTCCTGTTGTGGCCTCCTCTACATCGGGGAAACCAAGCGGAGGCTTGGGGACCGCTTTGCAGAACACCTACGCTCAGTTCGCACTAAACAACTGCACCTCCCAGTCACGAACTATTTCAACTCCCCCTCCCATTCCTCAGA